ATAAAGCAAAATATCAAACTAATAAGTTTATAGCGTTAAGCTCAAATAAAAGTACTACATAAAAATAGCTAAATTATTCTACAAATCATCTACTCATCTTTTATTTTATGCTCACGTAATATTATATTGAAATCAAAATCGCAACGTCACCTCAGTCATATACTAAAAGCGCTGGTTAAGCGTATCCTATACCTTTAAACGAGCAATATATATATATATATATATATATATATATATATATATAATGTGTGTAATCAGAATCTCGGAAACGGCTCCAACGATTTTCATAAAATTTAGTGTCCAGGGGGGTTTGGGGGGCAATAAATAGATCTAGCTAGGATTTATTTTTAGAAAATGTCGTTTTGTCCGTGTTTTCAGGCAGTGAAAATCTGCTACAATATAAGAAGGTAAATTTTGACACTATTAATGATCGTAATAGCTCAAATGAATATCGGGCCGTCGCGTAATCGTAGTGCCCTGGTTCGCGTCCTGTCTTCGGTCCGACAATTTTTTTCTTTTTTTTCAAGTTCACTTCTTTTGTGAGAAAATCTATTATTTCGAGCCCATTTTTTCAGTATTTTTTGAAAATACGAAAATTTTAATTAAATTAATTGCACTAATGATTTTTACGCCGTGTAGTGGCGGTTGAGAATATCCACTACCCCATATCTTCCCGTGAGTGTCGTAAGAAGCGACAGAGGGAGACAGCTAGGAGATGGGCAGCAGCATCTTACTGATAACAACTGTGATAAAATAAAAAACTGCGGTTGCCAACCGCTCGCCAAGCGTGGCAACTATGGCAAATATCCCCCCATGAATAACGACGCAAAAAATGACCCCCAGTCCCCGGCGGCCCCGCTATTCCTGGCTACGGTGGCGACCATGGTAACGGCGGGGCAGGGGGTGCTAAGAATCTCCGGTGGAGGTTCGGTTGGCACCTACGACGACTCGACCTGGCAACATATAACGCACGCACCCTGAGGACTGACAAGAAGATACTGGAGCTGGAAGAAGAGGTAGACAAGTTGCGCTGTTATATTATTGGATTATCCGAGGTCCGAAGAGAGGGGGAGGACACGGCAATATTCGAGTCCGGCAACTTGTTCTACCACCGGGAGGGTGACCATCTGTCCCAAGGAGGTGTCGGATTTATCGTTCACAAGTCTCTCGTCACCAACGTTGTAAAGATTGGGAGTGTGTCGACGAGGGTCGCGTACCTGATACTCAGAATCACCAAACGGTATTCGCTGAAGGTCATACAGGTTTACGCACCAACCTCGGCACATCCCGATGAGGAGGTGGAGGAAATGTATGAGGATATTTCCAGAGCCATGCATTCCTCCAAAACCCACTACACGGTGTTGATGGGAGACTTCAACGCAAAACTAGGCACAAGAGAAAGCGGTGAGCTGAAGGTAGGGAAATTTGGAGTAGGGCAACGGAACCGAAGGGGCCAGCAGCTGGCCGACTTTATGGAGAAAGAGGGACTCTTTAAGATGAACTCTTTCTTCCAGAAGCGGCCCCACAGGAAGTGGACCTGGTCGAGCCCCGACGGTTCGACAAAAAATGAGATTGACTTCATTATGACGACCAGACGCCAACTGTTCAGTGATGTCTCAGTGATCGCAAAGGTGAAAACTGGCAGCGATCACCGAATGGTTAGAGGCGTCCCCCTCGTGCTCTAATCCAGAATCCCGAAACCTTTCACCTCGAGTTACAAAACCGCTTTCAGTGCCTAGAGGATTGCAATGCAGTGGACGATATGAATGACAAGCTCGTGGAAACTGTCCATGCGGTCGGAGCTAAGTTCTGCAAGACCAGCCGCAGAAGAACACAAAAACTCTCCGATCACACTCTTAATCTCATGGCTGTTAGACGGGAGTTGAGGCTGCAATCGTCAACAGATTTGACAGCATACAGGCAACTGAACAGACAGATCTCCAAATGCATGCGGCGAGACTTACGCAACTTTAATACTGCTCGTATTAAAGAAGCGATCGAGCGGAACCAGGGCTCCAAAGTCTTTGCCAGAGATCTGTCTGCCAGAAAGAGCCAACTGTCAAAGCTGAAGACTGAGTGTGGCAGCATCGTTTCCTAGACACCTGAGATTTTGAGTGAGATTGAGAGGTTCTATAGGCAACTGTACACACCATCGTTGGAGCCACACGCAAGTGTGAGTAACGATCCAAGAGCAAGTCTTACCAGACACTATTCCGATGATATCCCGGACGTTAGTCTGAGCGAGATTAGAATGGCTCTCCAGCACCTTAAAAACGGCAGGGCCCCAGGCGAGGATTGAATTACAGCGGAGCTTCTGAAAGCGGGTGGAACACCGGTACTTCAAGTCCTTCAGAAGCTCTTCAATTCGGTCCTCCATGGTGGCACTACTCCGGAGGTGTGGAGCAGAAGTGCGGTGGTCTTGTTCTTTAAGAAAGGCGACAACGCTCTCTTGAAGAACTACAGACCGATTTCCCTTCTGAGCCGCGTCTACGTGCTGTTTTCGAGAGTCATTACGAATCGTCTCGCACGCAGACTCGACGACTTCCAGCCTCCCGAACAAGCCGGTTTCCGAAAAGGTTTCAGTACCATAGACCACATACATACCTTGCGGCAGATTGTACAGAAGACCGAAGAGTACAATCTGCCACTTTGCCTGGCATATGTGGACTATGAGAAAGCCTTTGATTCCGTCGAAATTTGGGCGGTGCTACAGTCCCTTCAGCGGTGCCAAGTTGACTGTCGGTATATCGAAGTGCTGAAGTGTTTGCACAGTAGGGCTACGATGGCTATTCGAGTACAGAACCAGAGTTCGAAACCTATCCAACTGCAGAGAGGTGTAAGACAGGGTGATGTTATATCCCCGAAACTCTTCACCGCTGCGTTGGAAGACGTTTTCAAGCTACTGGACTGGAAAGGATACGGTATTAACATTAATGGCGAGTACATCACTCACCTTCGATTTGCCGACGATATAGTCCTTATGGCAGAATCGCTGGAGGACCTTAGCACTATGCTCAATGACCTCAATGGTGTCTCCCAACGGATAGGTCTTAAGATGAACATGGACAAAACAAAGATCATGTTTAATGTCCATGTCACACCTATGCCGGTAGTTGTTGGGAGCACTATGCTCGAAGTTGTTGACGAGTATGTTTACCTGGGACAAATAGTCCGACTAGGTAAGTCCAACTTCGACCGAGAGGTCAATCGACGGATTCAACTCGGCTGGGCAGCGTTCGGGAAATTACGACACATCTTCTCGTCACGTATACCTCTCTGAAAACTAAAGTGTATAACCAGTGCGTGTTGCCAGTGATGACTTACGGATCTGAGACGTGGTCCTTCACTGCTGGCCGTATGAGGACGCTCAAGGTCGCTCAGCTAGCTATGGAGAGGGCTATGCTCGGAGTTTCGCTGCATGATAGACTCAGAAATGAGGATATCCGCAGTAAAACCAGAGTGACCGACATAGCCCAACGGATTAGTAAGCTGAAGTGGCAATGGGTCGGCCATATAGCTCGAAGAACCAATAACCGATGGGGAAGAAAGGTTCTTGAGTGGCAGCCTCGTACCGGTAGGCGTAGTGTAGGGCGACCCCCCACTAGATGGAGTGACGACCTGGTAAGACATGCAGGAAGTCGATGGATGCAGGTGGCTCAGGACCGTGCTTTGTGACAGTACTTGGGGGAGGCCTATGTTCAGCAGTGGACTTGTGAAGGGCTGTAATGATGATGATGATGATGATGAATGATTTTTTATTCAAATCACCAGTATAGTTTTTTATTATTATGTCAATAAGTTCAAAAAATATTATTCATGTTCTATCAGTATGTAATTTGTACCTAAATATAATTTCCAAAACACACAATTTTCAAAAAAAAAAATACCGAGGATAGCTCTGTCAACCAGGTACTGTTAAATAATTTAGAGCTACGCGGCATGGTGTAGCCAAATTTTTTCTTCATAATTCTTTGACAAGGTTGTTAGTTTTTATATATATTGAAGTCATTGCCCGCCGACTACCATTGCCTTTTTCTCCACTAACATATGACAATAATTTTTGTTTTTGTGATTTCAAACTATTTAGTATTTTTAATGTTTGTACATTAAATATCATCATGTAATTACGACAAGTGCACTTTTTATAAACAGGGTTATTTTTATCCAAATTTAATACTTAAGTTCAAGTATATATGTAGGAAGGTATTATTAATTGTAAGGGCAATATAGTACTTCTACCACTGGTTCCAAGAAAACTCCCGTCCTGGGAAGTACCAGTAAGAAACTCAGCGGAACATTTCTTTTAAATAGAATTAATTTCCAATTTATTAACTTTAACACAACTATGAAATACACAGATCACAACTAATCAACTATAAATTGTACTGAGGCTAATTTAAAAGAGGTTGAGCTAGTAACGGAGTACAACAAGTTCACTGAGCCACGCCAGAGCCAAGACTGCCCTAACGGCGGCCACTCCGACCGTTTTATATAATCGAGACAAGTAGCTACACGAGCGCCACTGCAGGTGCAACGCGCAGGTGTGCGGTGCGCGTGTTGCTTACAATAATTCCGACTAGCCACAGAGACGCTGCTGCACGTGTAACAGCACAGGTGCCGACATATATTGCAGTCTTTAAATATACGAGTTAATAAGGCTTCTACTTTTATTTGAAACAATCCCAAATTGAATGTGATTTATGGGCAACAACGACGCGTACGCACACTTCTCCGTGTGCGATTTGACGACCAAACGACGAATTACGAATGTGCGTGCGTAGTAAAACCGTAGGCGTTGGATGTTTCTGAATCTAAATAGTACAAATGTTCCAGGCATTCTGAATTTCAAAAATAAAGAGGACAGAATATTCGAGATATTTTTTAATTATTTTTTTCTTCACCATTCGCCAATATTACTTATTCTGAACCTTATCAACAAATTTGGGCTTATATTGCGAAAGAATCCTGTATATATATAAAATAATATTTTTTTGCGGCAGGCGTAAGCAAGATGAAGTCGCCGTGCTTGAACAAACTATACGCACGCGAAATGAAATGCAACGGGCAGCGGGTGTAGAGTTAGCGGCCACATGCCACATCTGTTTGAAGACAAAGTTCGCAGATGGTGTCGGGCATTCTTGCCACTACTGCAGAGTTAGATGCTGCGCTCGTTGTGGCGGGAAAGTGACTCTACGCTCTAATAAGGTATTTTCTTATGGTTTAAAAGACCATTTACTTACTTCTCTTTTACTTTCAATATAGCATTTTAGTTTTAAACTTTGTTTTACGAAAAAAATCTCACTGCAAAATCTTATATTCGCTAATTACAATCTATGCAAACAATTTTTTAGTTAAAGTTTGGCATTTTCTACAATTTGCTATAAATTGCAAAAATGTAATAAATAAGCCGTAAGCAATTGTAATTTCGTTGATATTGATATCCATTATCATTGCCTTCTAAACGGTTAAAGTACCAATTGAAGTTTAAGTAGAATGAAACTAGAACACAGTCTAATACCAATATCAGCAGTGGAACCAGAGTCACCCACATAGTTTAAAAGATCAGTAAGATGAAGTGACGGTGGGCCGGCCACGGAGCTCGAAGAACCAACAATCGTTGGGGAAAAAAGGTTCTCGAGTGGCAACCTCGTATCGGTAAGCAAAGTGTAGGGTGGCCCTCCACCAGATGGAGTGACGACCTAGTAAGAAATGCAGGAAGTCGATGGACATATTCGGTTTGTGGCTAACCAAGGCTTCTCCCAAGAATGTTCAACGGTGGACCCAGAACAGTCCATTACTGAAATCGGGCCACTACTGAATGGTAAGAACTTGAGGTAATTGCCACATTTCGCAAGCTAATTGGTGGTCAAAGACTTTTATGATACGATTGTAGTTCGAAGACAAGTGAAGTTCGCCAACACGCATTTGGGCAGCGCGGCGGACACTTCCTTGCCCTAAAACCCTCTCAGAAATGAGGGGAGGCCTGAGCCCAGCAGTAGGATGTATATAGGCTGTAACTTTACTTTTGTAGTTCATAATTGTTGATAATGTTTTAAATTTCATTATTAAATATTTGAAAAAATATTAGTATAAATCAGGTAAATAGGTACTAAAGACCTTTATTTAGGGGTGATAAGAGGAATGTTTATTGTTTCAGGTTATTTGGGTGTGTATATTATGTCGCAAGAAACAAGAATTGCTATCGAAAACTGGACAATGGATTCATAAGAGTGCGGGTCAGGACTCGATGCTGTGGCGGATGGAGTCGGATATGCGGAACCTCGCGCCGCCGGGCGATACTACTCATGACAAAAGACCGAAATTGGAACGAGCCCATAGTGCTGCAGAAAAAGAAAATCATCCGCTACAAAGGTCCGGCAGTGCATTGCGACGACAGTACAGTCAGCAAGAGGCGCGATGTTACGGAGAATTAGAAGGGTTGGCTCGTACGCATCCACACCTCGTACACCCAAGACAAAAAGCGGCGTATGGCGTTGAAGATTCTAACGTACCGCCACTAATGGCTCCTGCACATCTGATGCCACATCCTCACTCGCATCTACCACTACCCCCTCGTTCCTCGTCATCAGACGACGAGGTTCCCGAGTGCATTTCTGACGAAAACGACGAGTATCGCGACCGTGGTAAGTGAGCACGCTATCCAAGCAGGCCAACTCCTATCCTTGACAACATGATTCCCTCCATCCGAGCTACTTTTGTTTATGTCTACCCTTATTTACGTTACAGATGCACCACATTATACTAAACACGATATTACAGTGATTTCGTTTTATATACCAAAGTAACTTCGTTGACTATTCAACAACGTTATAATTAAGTTTGTAACTGATCCACAATTTTGTAAAATTAATGTGTTCCGTGCGAGGTAATTCAATTTATATTAGAAGTAGTTCAAAGTAGATATTGTAACCTTATGAGATTTAACGACGTCTTAGATAATTTCATAGCGTAGAGGACCTGAACTTATCTAAGGTATCTTTTAAAACATAGGAGATCACATCATGTCTAGGTTTCAATTGATACTTACCCTACTATATTTTAAGTTTGTGCAACAGAAATATTGTACAATGATTTATGTTTATTATTTCATTTATTGCAGTTTTATGGACAGTGACTGTTTTTTTAAAGCGTTTGAAATCTCGCACTATTTAAACAATACCTATTTGCGCTAGGTTTAAAGCGAATGTTTTGTACATTTATATTGTAATATGTCGTCACGAACGTGTCGCGAGTTGGCGGTCCACACGCGCCCGGTAGCCGAATGGCTGGGGATTTTTCCCATGCGCCAGTTTTCACCTCACCATCCCACTGTTCGCAGGTAATAGAGATAGGAGCAGTTCCGGAAGCTCCAGAAACCAGCGACAAGCAATATTAGACGAGAAAATGAAAAAGTTCCTATCGGTGAGGGGCGTGTTTTTCGGGAATCTTAATCAATATACGTAAAATTGCTACGTTTAGATGTTTCAATATCCGTTAATGTTCATTGATGGTTTTCATTAAAACAGTTTACTTCTTACTTGTGGACGATCAAATCTTCTTTCTTCGTTAATTTTCTTCAGTCATTTAGTTTAAATACTTAGGCAGTATGTACACGAAGAAGCTTCCATACCTTAATTTCTTATTTTTGGATTTAAATATCATGTCTATATTCACTGTGAATCACAGCAAATACAGTATGACGGCAATACGTGTACCTCTGCCTCTTTATTGTTTGAACCACAACAATTTTAAATATGATCATCATTTTGTAATATGTTTATTATAAAAAAATATGTAATAAAGAATTCCTAGATTCAGCTGATGCAAAAAATTATTTTTATGGTTCAAACAATCGCATGTCTGGGCGAAAAGAAGTGTAAAATATTTGGAATCATTTTAAACTTACTACATTTTGTGAGCGTATTCCTACTTTTACTTTATCGTTGTTGTCTCGCTGTATGACTTGGACTCTGACACATCTTTCCGCTTGTGCGTGGTCACCGCTTTTAATTGCGATGCATTTGTTATAATGACGACATTCTACTCGAACTATTAACTCCGCTCCCGTATTTCTCCTGAAGGCGAACTTGACATTTTGAAATCTTTCTACTTGATACCTAATCAACGTCGAATGTCTTAACACTAGGGGATAAGGATAGGTTACGGTTTTAATCTTACATGCGTCAAAGTTGGCTGAGGTTGTCTTGCATGTAGGAAACATTTTAATATTCTTTAATTCTAATATTCTTTTAAACGGTTCCGGGCGCGTACGGGCGCGCATTTCGCTGGACGGACGCGGACGATGAAAATTAAGGTTTTGTTGCTATTTACACGATATCATTCATAGGACATCTTGAGGCGTGTGCATCGTTGCGGCACCCTAATCTACGCAGCTCAAGCGTGGCCGCCAACAATTTTTATAATTTGACTAATCATTCGTCGGCTCCCTACGTTCCGGAGGCGCGCGGGCTGTTCGATACGAGGACCGCTCCTGCCGGTGGTCGCAGCTTCGATTCGGTGACGGACTGTCGGTGGCGTGCTCGCGCTGATGCCGAGAGCAATTACTTGCGGCCGTACGCTCCAGATGAGGGCCCGCGCCCCGAACGCGCCGTGTACAAGAGTGCCTATTTGTGGGAAGATTCCGCCGATAACAGACGCTTCACTGAGAGGAGAAAAAAAACTGTTCGCTTTGACGGGCACGAGGGCGCTGCAACGTTCCCGAGAGGGGGCCGTGATGCCTCTGGTGCGCCAAACGACTGGGCCTCCCTTCGATGGGAGTCTGAACGACAGACCAGCCAAGACTCCGCTACTAAAGACTCGGGCATTGATACCTCTAGTACATTCACATCAAGCGAAGATTCAAATAGAGGCGATTGTCCAAAGGTACTTTGCATTTGAACCTTAAGATATGTCTCTATACGTAAAACTCACTAAAAGCGAAACGAAAATATTTGCAGTTGCGTTTATCACTTACGAATTAGCAAAAGTTTATCTTTTACGAATTATTAAAAAAAAAACCATTTTCAAATTTAATCATCTATTAAGGTTAGGTCATTGTATTGTACATATAAAAAGAATATTTGATAAAAGCATTTCTGTTTGGCTGCGGCATGATTGCATTGACGGGCATGTGTCGGTACTTCCTACTAAATGTGCGCATTGTGCACTTTGTGTTTGATTGTACACCTCTAGCTAAAATGTAAAGGTTGTTGAACTGCTTGTTGTTTTTGTAAATTTTATCTAATATTTTACAAATATGACAGTTCCCGCTGAGTTGGCAAGTGTCAGTGGACGGCACGCGCATGATTGGTCACATGGTCTTACGTAAGAGCGTTGTGGAAGGAAGCGCGCACTCCTCCGCCGCAATACTCGGTCTGAAGGTCGTCGGCGGGAAGATTCTGCCTGACGGTAGTCGCGGGGCTGTGGTAGAGAAGGTCAAGAAGGGTTCAATAGCTGATTTAGAAGGACAACTTAAAATAGGTAATTACACTCTTTATATTATAGTATGTGATAACCCCTCGCCTCGCTAGGTGCACGGCAATATTTTATTGCGGAACCTAGATGTAAAATATCAAGATTTTATTTTGATGGGACTATCGTAAAATACGTTGTTAGTTAGCATCTGCATAGCGAAATAAGTAACTGTACCAAATTTCAAATCAAGCGGGTGTATAGTTGTAGAGATCTCGTGTTGAGTCAGTCCGTGTCCCAGAAGTCGACGTCAAGCCGGAATCGGTGATAGCTCAAGTCATAATAGTTAACAGAAAAATATAAAAAAATGCTTTACTATGAATTTAAAAATTATAGGCATTTATAAAAGAAATCGAGAAAATTATTACTTTTTAAATTTTCTTTTTATTATGTAGTCCTGTATAATGAATGAATAATGCTTCTGAAAACTGTTGCTTAAAAGTTAAGTATAACCAACTGCTCCAGTCCAGAAGGATATCTATTTTTTTCCCAACCAAGTATTCAAAATTAATACTTTGCTCAGTTTTAAATCTATCACCCGATTCCAGCTTGACACTGATTTCTGGGAGAACCTGTATAATATATAATTGTTAAACCTACGTCAAATTCTCAACACTCCATGGGTTGAACGGTAGAAAGTGCCTCAAGGCATGAAGCCCTTTGTATTCTTTTATTTTAAGGAATTCAGGAAGGAATAAATAAATAAATATTAACTTGACCAGTTTATAAAGGTATTTATGTCTGAATAAAACGGAATTTTGTAATTCAGTTTTCACCTGCCAGGATCATCACAGCTCATGATTAAGGCGTGTTGTTTAAGTTTTATTAAATCTAATATTTTATTTATTCATTAATAACAATCTATCAAAAGCCCATAACTGAACATAGGCCTCCCCATAGACTATCTCATAGGAGGGATCATGGTGGTTAAATAACAGAACGATCGCTACGTACTAAAGCATTGCCCGCCTCTTCTTGAAAATTGTAGAATTTATAGCGGCGCTGGCGTCACGTCGGTGAGTAGTGACTGCGAAGTTAGCTGGTTTTGAGTACATGTAGATGAAGTTAGTTGAATAATGTACAAATTTTCTTCGCGGCATTGTGCTCCCTAATTTTGTAATTTTTGACAAAAAGAAACGTTCAAAAATGGAGAAATATTTTATTGTGCGTGGATGTGCAAGTGGCACATCCACGCACAATAAAATATTTCTTAGCATTTGATCGGAAAATTAGACTGAAAATAACTTTTATTGAGCGAACTTAGCGATCGCAGCGTCTCACTTATGGTGTCCATATTTCTGGGACACTATTTTCTACGGCGATCGTTCTCCTGTTCTTTAACCTGCATGGGCCCTCCCATCCCATCTTGCCATAGTTGCCACACTTGACAGGCGAGTTGGCAACCGTAGATTTTTGTTGTTTTCAGTTGTTATTAGGAAGACGCTGTAGTTCACCCTATGCTACAGTTTCCCTCAGTCGCCTCTTACTACACCCACGGGACGATGTTATGGGGTGGCGAATTCACTTACACCGCCAATACGTGGCGTATATCAAAGTATTAAATATTTTTTTTTAATTTCAAAGGCATTCCAAAGGCTTCATTTATACTGTGGTCATATCTGTTTAGTAATAGGCATGTTTAAGTATAATTCTCTTTAGGTGATGAAGTACTACAATGGAATGGAGTGCCTCTCCAAGGCCGGAGCGCCGAGGAGGTCGCAGCCGTAGTTGCTAACAGCAAGCACGATTCCCACGTGGAGCTGGTGGTATCGCGTCCTTTCGTCCCAGGTCGAACGCCAGCTCAAGCGTGGAGAACTCACAAAGGTTATATCAATAATTATTTTTTAAGGTACCCAAACCCTTATATATAAATGTTCATGTTACTTTTTCAGACGTTTACATTTTTAGATAAATTTATCAGAAGCATGAAAATAAAGACTATATTACTTTTAATTTGTAGTTTGTAGTGTAGGTTTCTGGTTAAAGAGTCAAACAATTTTATAATGAAAGACTACCCGCTAATGAATGAATAAATGAAAGCAACCATGAAATTAATCAAAAAAAAAATTATACAAAAGGATGTGTGACAAGCGTGCCATTTATTGACCGGTAATATTTTTAATTAGATATAGAAAATATAGTCTGTTTTTATATCATTGAAGCCAGGGATGTAGCGCTATATAATGAATGTCCGAAAAATCTCGTGACTTTCAGCAGATGGTGGTATTTCTATTTTAAAGAGTACAATCGGTGTTAGCGAGAGAGTGATGAGGGGAGGGGCTAAAAGTGCGGGTCACTTAGTACTACGATTACTATCTGTATTGAATGTTTATTCAAACAACATACCGTATTCTGATCTTGTTCTGCGGTAGAGGGCGTAAAAATTATGACAAAACTTATATTCTAAGCGATGGATTATCAAAAATAAACTGCTTAACTTTTTTTAAACGATTTATCCATGGCATAGAGGTTTATACGGAAGTGATGGGCGGTTGCGAGAAGCCGAGCGTACTCGTAACGTCACCAGGCTCGCCCGACGTGCATGCGCGCCGCCGCAATGCGAGACTCAACCACAACGCCAACGTCGCCGGACGCATACAGGTGCTTTGATACAATTATAATTGTGTATTTCTAAAGTGAACCATAAAGTTGATAAAGTTGTAGCCTATATACGTCCCACTGCTGGGCACAGGTCTTCTCTAATTTCTGAGAGGGTCTTAGAGCAAGGAAATGTCCTCCGCGCTGCCTAAGTGCGTGTTGGCGAACTTCCCATGTCTTCGAAAAAGTTTTTCTTCTTATTTCTCAGGCTTCTCACGATGTTTGCCTCACCGCCGAGCACGTGGTAAACCAGCACTTGAAATTGCTATTAAGAATTTCATTGGTGCCAGCGGGTATTGAATCCGGGCTTCTCGAGTACTGTGAAATTTACAACGAGCGCATAACCACTGATCTACCACTGTGTGCCGTAACCTTCTCACAAGTGATAGTTCACTTATGAGAAGGTTACGGCACACAGTGGTAGCTCAGTTTATAGTTAAACTTGCTAAATTTTATAGATTTTACGGGTATACTTGCTGATGAGCTCTTTAGCCAAGAATCAATTGAAAAGAAATAGCTTAAGTGCCTTTTAAAATGATACGTAAAATGATATGAGATATTTGTCTGGATATAGCCCAAAAATATTACGATAAGGACCTCTTCTCTTTAAAGCTTTCATTGGTGACAAGACAAGATATAACTAAAACATTTTACTATTGTATGATTACTGTTATTTTACTATTGTTATATGCAAGGAACATTTAAGGAATTTTTAATTGACGTTCCATGTACAACAACATACAACAAAGGTGAATTTTTTATTAATGATGTTCCTTGATAATGGTGGAGCCAAGTGGCAGCTATATTACGGTTGTAGCACGAATGGGTCGGCTCTTTGAGTATAAAAGGTCGGCTCGACCTGGTTAGGACCACGCTGTCCTGGCAGACGAGGCATTCCACCTTAGTCCTCAGGGGTGACAAAGCATCTGCAATTTGATTCTTAATCGATGATAAATGTCGATGTGTCACAGCATCCTCTTACCATCAGGTGGACTGTGTGCTCATTTGTTACCCTATCTTATAAAAAAAATTATCCAATTCTTTATTGTCTCTATATATAAAAATCAATTGTCCGGTAGTCTCGCTCAAATTCGAAAATGGCTCGACTGGTTTTTATGAAATTTTTGTGTATTTGAGTGAATCTCTGGATGGTTCGGATTCACAAGTGGACCCGGTAGGTGGCGTTGTTATCGAAATCCAGAATTCACAGCCAGTACACGATATAAATAAACTATAATTTGAATAATACAAAGCTTTTCTACAAACAAAAGAAACCGTGGGACCTCGTTTTGTCGTCGACCTCGTTGCCTCGTCGTCCGATGACTAAACTAGAAATTAGAAAACAGGCAAATCTAATTAATGTATAATTCCAAAACAATTGAGTTTAATTTTTCTTTTAGAGCCGATGCGGCATCAGAGGCAGCTGAATTTAGTAAACGGCGCCAATATGAGTTTTTGAGAAATTACTACATATTTGTGCCATTTGCCGTAGAGACTGTCGGGCCGTGGGGTCCACGTGCGGTGAAGTTCCTAAAGGAACTATATCCACGAATGGTCGTCGCTGCTGGTGATAAGAGGGCTGGTTCTTTCCTCGCTCAAAGGCTAAGTATAGCTATTTAGCGAGGAAACGCAGCCAGTTTTTTTGGCACTATACCACGGGGAGCAGGACTTTTGACTATAAAAAAAAATTAACTTTAGTTTTTCTGTATTAAAGTTTCTTTTTTATATTGTGTATAATTAGTATTAATTGTAAATATTATAATTTTAATAAATATTTGAGATATGAATAAAATATAATGCCCCAAAAAAAATTTAATGTAATGTGGTATCGGAGATGAAGACCCATTTTATTAAGTGAATATCGTGTAACTTAAATAGGGAAATATTGGGTAGATCTTGTAATTGTCAAATAGCGGAAAACCATTTCGAAAAAAGCCAAACCAACCCAAGGTTACGTGGCTCTACCACATTAAGATGAAGGTGCCATTATCCAGCAGTGGACTTCTTATCAATGTATGATGATGTGTGTTTATTGCCTGCACAGCTGAAGGTGTACTTCGACATTGCCGCACTGCAACTGCTCGTGACGGTAGTGTCAGCTAGTGGACTGACGCCACGGAGCGACGGCTCACCGCGCTGTCCCTACGCTAAGATATTCCTTCTTCCTGACAAAAGTGAGAAGAGCAAGCGAAGAACAAAAACGCTCGCCAACACGCTCGAACCACGCTGGAACCAGACATTTGTCTATTGCGGCATACGAACCGTGGATATTAAAAAAAGAGCTTTAGAGGTATTTTTTTTTTTATTGAAGAATCTCTGGTTTTGATGCTCACTCTATATGTATGGTTTATATAAGACATGTGTCGATCATCCATTTCTCGTGACCGAATCATTCTAGGACATTTCGTCACACATTCAGATTGAACATTAAAATGGATCATTTCGCGCTTCAGTACCCTACACTGAAAACAATTTATTCAGATCATTCGGGATTCGGTCGGTTTTCGACTCATTCACAATTCACACCAATTACGAGCTAAAAAGGTTCCGTCGATTGTTTGTGATTGTTTGTACCGGAACATTCAAATGAGTGAACCATCAATACTTTTAGGTGTACCAGCTGAAACGAACGATTCATTCATGATTGACACACGTCTAGTTTATGTATATTGCCAAACTAAGCATGAATAATAGTACAAAGACTTCTATGTTACTACTAGACGGCCACTACGGTACTAATACATTGCGCGTTACGAGTATTATGTAGCTGTAAATTTTCATGCAAAAATCGGTAACGTTTTCCCTCCCGTAAACATAGATTAATTTTGATAATTTTTGGAAGTATTGTATATATAATGAAAAAATAGGTCCGTACGTTTTTATTTTAATGAAATATTACGTCCGATATAAGTTATTAGCATCTACATATCTATATTTTTGAAGTAAAAACTTCCTTAAGCGTTTTTACTTTTTTAAATTAAACTAAACGGAATTACTAAAAAAGAAGAGAGGTTAAGTTAAGGTATATTGAATCTAAAAAATACTAAAATTGTTTCGTTTCGTTAAGCTTTGGGGGGGGGGGGGGTGAAAACGTAATCGCTTGAAACAATATTTTAAAAAGAAAATGTAGGCAATTACTTCCAATATTTGCAACTCTCTCTATCGCACGACGGCTATACGGAGCGACTGATGTGAAACAGATAGCATTTTATCGGTATCGGCAGTTAACTTCTTTAGTCATTATTTATTGAAAGCCGCGTCAAAGGTGCATAATCGTCTAGTACTGTGAACGTCAATCTAGCTTTTATGCATGACAATTACGGTAAATCCTTATTATTTTAAGAGAAGTGTAAGAGAGGCAAAGTACAATGTGAGGCCGCATTACTTTTTTATTGGTCTGAGGCCACATTATCAATGAAAAGATCGGCTCTGCGCTCAAAACATTCGCGTCCCTAAAAACATTGATGTAAAATTAAAAAAAAGTGGAAATGCAAAATTATTTATTATTTAAAGTTACACTACATTTTTTTCATTACATTTACATATTTACATACTCGTGTCTTTATTCGTATTTAACTATATAATATTAATTATTTATATTATTTTTTTTTAGTTTTACACGGTATATTTGTACATATTTACTTATACAAATATTAATAGTTTACTTTTGTATATCATAATATGAATTTTATATTTTAGTGTATTTATTGTCTGCATGCATGCTTGCACATTTCACCTTTTCTTATTATTAAGCTACTTACATGTTTCCTAAGTTTAGTGACTTATCTGTGATTTTCATTGACTATATGGCTTTGAAGATTTCGGTTAATTCCAAAGTTTGACTGGTATAGAATGCTTAAAGCCTTAAGGCCACATATCGTTCTTGATTATGTAAACAAAATTTATGTAAACAAAGCAAAACATATTAAGTACTCATATTACATCTCGTTAAATTAACCCTGACCATGTGTAATAATACAAATTATTTATATTACTTCAACCCAAAGATCACTACAAACTTACACTTCTGTTAAAGGTCGAAATATGTTTCACAGGTCACTGTGTGGGATTTTAACCGTTATGGACCCAACGACTTCCTTGGGGAGGTGCTATTGGACTTGGATAGTGTTCTAATGAGCCATGAACCGAACTGGTACTTGCTAAAGCCACACGAAGACTCAAGTTTCAGCGTAAGTGTCCATTTTTAATTACGTGGTAGAGCCATGCTGTAGCTCAATTATGGTTGTAGCACTATGCTAAATTACAGTTTTGAAACACATACATAGTAGAGCCATGCTGCAGCTCAATTATGGTTGTAGCACTATGCTAAATTACAGTTTTGAAACACATACATAGTAGAGCCATGCTGCAGCTCAATTATGGTTGTAGCACTATGCTAAATTACAGTTTTGAAACACATACATAGTAGAGCCATGCTGCAGCTCAATTATGGTTGTAGCACTATGCTAAATTACAGTTTTGAAACACATACATAGTAGAGCCATGCTGCAGCTCAATTATGGTTGTAGCACTATGCAAAATTACAGTTTTGAAACACATACATAGTAGAGCCATGCTGCAGCTCAATTATGGTTGTAGCACTATGCTAAATTACAGTTTTGAAACACATACATAGTAGAGCCATGCTGCAGCTCAATTATGGTTGTAGCACTATGCTAAATTACAGTTTTGAAACACATACATAGTAGAGCCATGCTGCAGCTCAATTATGGTTGTAGCACTATGCTAAATTACAGTTTTGAAACACATACATAGTAGAGCCATGCTGCAGCTCAATTATGGTTGTAGCACTATGCTAAATTACAGTTTTGAAACACATACATAGTAGAGCCATGCTGCAGCTCAATTATGGTTGTAGCACTATGCTAAATTACAGTTTTGAAACACATACATAGTAGAGCCATGCTGCAGCTCAATTATGGTTGTAGCACTATGCTAAATTACAGTTTTGAAACACATACATAGTAGAGCCATGCTGCAGCTCAATTATGGTTGTAGCACTATGCTAAATTACAGTTTTGAAACACATACATAGTAGAGCCATGCTGCAGCTCAATTATGGTTGTAGCACTATGCTAAATTACAGTTTTGAAACACATACATAGTAGAGCCATGCTGCAGCTCAATTATGGTTGTAGCACTATGCTAAATTACAGTTTTGAAACACATACATAGTAGAGCCATGCTGCAGCTCAATTATGGTTGTAGCACTATGCTAAATTACAGTTTTGAAACACATACATAGTAGAGCCATGCTGCAGCTCAATTATGGTTGTAGCACTATGCAAAATTACAGTTTTGAAACACATACATAGTAGAGCCATGCTGCAGCTCAATTATGGTTGTAGCACTATGCTAAATTACAGTTTTGAAACACATACATAGTAGAGCCATGCTGCAGCTCAATTATGGTTGTAGCACTATGCTAAATTACAGTTTTGAAACACATACATAGTAGAGCCATGCTGCAGCTCAATTATGGTTGTAGCACTATGCTAAATTACAGTTTTGAAACACATACATAGTAGAGCCATGCTGCAGCTCAATTATGGTTGTAGCACTATGCTAAATTACAGTTTTGAAACACATACATAGTAGAGCCATGCTGCAGCTCAATTATGGTTGTAGCACTATGCTAAATTACAGTTTTGAAACACATACATAGTAGAGCCATGCTGCAGCTCAATTATGGTTGTAGCACTATGCTAAATTACAGTTTTGAAACACATACATAGTAGAGCCATGCTGCAGCTCAATTATGGTTGTAGCACTATGCTAAATTACAGTTTTGAAACACATACATAGTAGAGCCATGCTGCAGCTCAATTATGGTTGTAGCACTATGCTAAATTACAGTTTTGAAACACATACATAGTAGAGCCATGCTGCAGCTCAATTATGGTTGTAGCACTATGCTAAATTACAGTTTTGAAACACATACATAGTAGAGCCATGCTGCAGCTCAATTATGGTTGTAGCACTATGCTAAATTACAGTTTTGAAACACATACATAGTAGAGCCATGCTGCAGCTCAATTATGGTTGTAGCACTATGCTAAATTACAGTTTTGAAACACATACATAGTAGAGCCATGCTGCAGCTCAATTATGGTTGTAGCACTATGCAAAATTACAGTTTTGAAACACATACATAGTAGAGCCATGCTGCAGCTCAATTATGGTTGTAGCACTATGCTAAATTACAGTTTTGAAACACATACATAGTAGAGCCATGCTGCAGCTCAATTATGGTTGTAGCACTATGCTAAATTACAGTTTTGAAACACATACATAGTAGAGCCATGCTGCAGCTATTTTGTGGTTGCAGCACGAATGGGTCAGCTTGACCGTGAAAGGCTCACAGAATACCAACGTCAAATAGCAGCTTAATGCTGCTGTGTTTCGTATGGTAAGTGTAGAGAACCGGTGACACTTTTTACTGGAAACGAGGCATTCCATCTTAGTCCTCACGGGTGACAACGGATACGTATTTTGATTCGTAGTCGAGGATAGATGTAGATGTCTATGGGCCACAGCAACCACTTCCTATCAGGTAGGCTGTGTGCTCGTTTGTCACCTAACCTATAAAAAATTTTTTTTCAGTATCTAATCTGGACTAACTCACCTACACTAGGCTTTAGCTCTATATTGAGTGGGTATTATATTTGCTTTACTGCTTTGTTAATGTAGTCGTCGTAGACCCAACTGTTGATCACGATGTGCAAGGTTCGAATAATTTTTTCCAGACTTTAATTATTTCTTACGTTTTAAAAAAAATAATTTCTTAGTAGCAGCCCGGAATCAAAAATTTGACAGTGTTTAATCTCCATGTTTCGGAAAGCTCATAAAGTCGTTATTTATACGGCTGATCTTTCTCCAATCGTGCCGATTTGACGTCCATTTAGGACTACGAGAGTTAGGTGCAATTTAATCCTATCCTGCGCCGATGGCTAGTTTGCATTTAGACTAGGAGCCGTTTCCGAAATTTGGTCTGGACGACATTTAACTATTAATTTAGTCACTAAATGACATTACTTTGGTGGATGATGAAATTACAGCAAATTCTTTTTATTATGGGAGATTTTCACGTTCGGAAGGAGACGGTTATGGGCTAATGAAAAAAAAATAGAAGAAAAATACTTAAATGAAGGCAGAAAACTTTAATTTAAGAAAATTCTTAATCCCGAAATGTGTCCTTCCGTATTCTTCTTCAGTGTACTTTCATTTTTCCAGTGGTGTTTTATCAAGGTCTATCGTGAATTCTCTCAATAAAATGTGTGTTTCGTTCTTATAAAACAGAGGTATCGCGATGAGGAAATGGAAGGCGAGCACTTGTCGCCGCCGTCAACTTCGACTTCGCGGCTTTCGGACTCGGACACTCCCAGCGAGTGTGACCTGCGCCGGCATCATTCGCTCTCCAGCCTCGCCTCCAGCTCCAGCCCACCACCCTCGAATGAGGTACTATTGCACTTTTTACTTACATCTGTTTTTCATATTTACATAATCTTCATTATCATCGAAGTTCACTGCTAAACTAAGGCCTCCCCTATAGATTGCCTTACATTTGCCATAGTTGCCACGCGTGGCAGGCGGGCTTGCAACCGCAGTTTTTTGTTATTTTGAGTTGTTATGAGGAAGATGCTGCATTTCGTGTTTCGGTTTCCGTATCTCGCCTCTTACGAATACCTTTCCTATTATTTTTCAATCCATTTTTGAAACATAAAAACCTGTTTATTTTATTTATATTTACAGATTATTTATTTAGGTATGAAAATATCAGCCTTAATACATAATATCTTAATGCTATAATCTCATCCAGTGCCCGCCTCGTTATTTAACACTGCACTGATCCCATAAAGGTCACAACTTTTTACATTCCATAGATATTTCTACGAATATTTTATTTTCTGATACAAAATTAGCTATTTATATTTTAGTTTTACTAGTTATATCTTATATTTTTATACAATGCTTAATATAATAAGCAAACGAGCTAAGCAAACCACAATTATAAATTCTGAATCTCTACAATTCTTTAATGTCAATTACGGAATGATCTGCAACAGCTATTTTCAACATTAAGATAACGTAGAATGGATATCTATTTTACCTAATCCATAGCACATTTAGCGTGAGTTCTCCCATAATAGAAATATATGTTTTACACGCTTGAAAAGTGAAAAGAAAAGGAAAAGAAAAATATCTGACATCTAGCTTTTAAACGACATCCCGACATAACTATATCTTTTAAATATGATATAATATATCTAAAACAAGGCGACCCCGCACTAGATGGAGTCACGACCTGGTAAGACATGCAGGAAGTCGATGGATGCAGGTGGGTCAGGACCGTGCTTTGTGGCATTCCTTGGGGAAGGCCTATGTTTAACAGTGGACTTTTGAAGGGTTGTAATGATGATGATGATGATATCTAAAACTGTTATTAAGTAATGTATTAGTGAAGGTCGCAAAATCTTCGGGGCATCCTCTCTAGCCGCCTCTTATTAGCTTACACACCCATACCGGACGATTAGAGTTGATGATTTTGTTGTTAATACGCCTAAAACTTACGCTGAAATGAATGAATATTACTGATTTCAATTAATATTTTTATCTCCCTTAGATCGACGGAACGCGAATCAGTCGTCGTGACATGTCGCCTGCTGGTAGAGCACGCGCGACTGGTACGGCCAAAGATCGAGTGAGTTTCTCTTTCTGTTATTTTTAAAATTATTCCTGGCAATGGTAGGTACGTCGAGGCGCCTCTATTTCATTTTTTGATAGTACAAATATATATAGCAATACTATACCCCTGGATGGTCGGATGCATGAAAGCTCTTTGCTAGGGCCTTACCTGTCGATAGCGGCTAGGATAAATAACGTGAAATTACAAGTACATAATTACTGCTTGTTATTCTAGATTACCGGATATTGGATATTGGATTTCTTTCAAATGTAAATAGCTAGGTACTTACTTTTAAACTTATTTTCAGTATTATAACTGAGTCACAACCTGCAAAAAATACGATTAATTCTCCTTCCATATAAACATAATTTGGTGTATATTAGGTAGATACACATGAATCCGTCTTCTATATGGCGATTATGTGATGCGTTCACTGTGAATCACGATCACAACAGCTTGCTTCTAAAATACACAGCCCATTACATTAACCGTGTGGTTGCGGCTTTAGAGAGTGCACTACCCCGTATCACCGCGTATTTCAAACTGGAATTCCTCGCAACGTTATCCAAAATTTTATTATGTCAAAATTTAATGAGGAATTGATAAAAACTAGTGACTTAAGAACTTAGGAGATATAGCCCTTTTTGGGAGGATTCTAGCTTGAATTCAAGCTAGCAGTCTCCCCTCGAAAATACTGTTATTGTCTGCGCCTGAGACATGACTCCTATTTTAACACTTTCACTGTCCAGTAGCATCTGCATTTTGATTTGTAATCGAGGATAGATGTAGATGTCTATGGGCCGCAGCAACCACTTACCATCAGGTGGACTGTGTGCTCGTTTGTCACCCTATCCTATAAAAAAAGGCTGCTACAAATATTAAGCCTTACGTTGATTAGCACACATGATTCCAAGACAAAAACACAAAAGAATATTAATTTGATGGGACCGATGTAATCAAACAATGTGTTTACCATGATTCAATGAAAAACATTTCTTTTAATTATTTAAAAAAAATATCCTATCGACAACTAATGTTTTACATAATGATTTCTTATATTTACGCGAACACTATACATGGATTAAAACTACTTTTACGGATTTTATCGCGTTTTATTTACATTAATTTTAATACCCGACGTTTCGGGTGCTTTCCAGCACCCATGGTCACCTCAGTCACCCGTGACCATGGGTGCTGGAAAGCACCCGAAACGTCGGGTATTAAAATTAATATAAATAAAACGCGATAAAATCCGTAAAAGTAGTTTTAATCAACTAATGTTTTATTATGTTCCCATCACTAGCCATAACTTAAAACTACAACTATCTTTTACTGCGGCTAGAGATGTAATCGTTACTCTAAATTGACTTTTCATTTACCCTGCAATTTATCTTCATAATTGTGTGCGAATCTATACAAAGATAGAGCAATTGATTCGCTACAACTCACAATAAATGATATAAATATATCCTAAATTTTCAGCTTTATACGTATTTCAAAAAAGTATGTTTTTGTAAGCTAGAAACGTCTCAGGCGCAAAGTATGTAGTAAAGTTAGCATATTATGAGTTCTAATCGGTATCCAACGCACCGGCTGAACGTTCCTTGAAAAAGGCCCCGCATCTAACGTGTTAACAAACCGTTGGGCTATGGCAATTACTATGATTCTACTGCGAATATTTCTTTACGATTTTATGATTAGCTAATCAGTGCGCTCATTACGCGTTCAGTGTATTTTCAACTTTGCCGTGTAGTGGTGGTCTAAGAGAATCCAATACCCCATATCTTCGCGTGGGTGTCTGACAGACGAGCAGCAGCATCTTTCTGATAGCAAATAAAATAATAAAATACTGCAGTTTCCAACACGTCCATCATGCACGGCAACTATGGCCGATATTATACCTTATAATTATAAGGCATTATATGGGGGAGATATTCAGTAGCGCACTTTATGTTTTGTTAATTCTCGTATAGTTCTAAAAATTACTTTATTTACACACACAAATACTATACACTATATACTTTTTAAAGTCTTAAACCCGAAAACAAACTCCTTCTCTATTGAAATTAGGATGTTTTTTAATTTCAATAGCCTCACGTATGATCCTTGGTAGGAATCAATAGCCTCAATAGAGAAGGAGGCTGGGTACTAAAACCTGCTTGGGATCCTATAATTAATAAAATTAAAACTAAATCCAAGCATACCACTGCAAGACCTCAGGACATAGTCAGTTCATTTTGCATAGATCGGACCACAAACAATAATTAAAAAAAAGCTGAAGGTACTCCGGGTTTAACAATGACATCGCGACGTCAGTCATCTCAGTCCCCCGTGACCATGGGAGCTGGAAAGCGCCCGAAACGTCGGGAATTAAAAATAATAGTAAAATAAACGCGATAAAATTCGTAAAAGTAGTTTTATTCAATGTGTAGTGTTCGCGTAAATAAAAGAAATCATTAAATTGCTGTCTGTTAGAGAGATATGGCTGAAATATGTCGTGGGCAGTATCCTTGTGCCTATATTATACAGTTTTTGGTGAAGCAAGCTATTGCTAATTTTATCAAATGCCTTTTTCAGATCAATAAATATACCGAGTGCTGCGCGTTTTTCATCAATATTGTTTTTCACCTTTGTCACAAGAACGACTTTTGCAGTTAGTGTATTAGATTTTGTGCAGAAACTATATTCATCATTTGATAAGAAGTTAATAGTTTTGAGATAATTATCTAAGTGTTTATATAATACTTTCTCGTAAATTTTAGGGATTATCGGGAGAACTGAGATAGGGCGATAATTGCCTGGGTCGGTCTTTTTTTCTGATTTAAAAATTGGACTCACTTTTGCTACTTTAAGAGAGTCGGGGAAGAAATCGTTTTGTAAACAATAGTTGATATTCATTGTTAATTCGTTTAATATTAAGTTTTTGATGCAGTTTATGGTTTTGCAATTAATTTCATCTAAGCTCGTGCTATTTGGATTAAGGTTATCTATGAATTTGCCTACTTCCTCTTTCGTAGTTGGAGTCAGATAGAGTAGTTCGTATGTACTAGACTTAGCCGTTTGAGAGCTAGGCTGTGTAAATTGGTTTTTTCTTATGTGTTTTAATTTTATTTGCTAAAATAAAACCTATAGTAGCAAAGAAAGTAATGAGATAACATATTTCTTTAACGTCTGTAATTGGACCCATTTGTGTAACTAGTTTTATAGGAGCAGAGCACGACTTTGTTTTGTTTCCAGCTAAGTTCCCGATTAACTTCCACATCTTTAAAGGTTTTCTTTCACAGTTTTTGAGGCTTTTGTAATAATAATTTTTTTTAGTACTCTGGATTTGTTCAGTCACGGTATTTCGTAGGGCAATAAAGTCTTTTCTTGTCGATTCGTCGTTGTGATTTTTTTTTGTAAATAGGCCACAGCTGATTTCTTTTGGTTATCATTTTAATTATGTCTTTATTAATCCAATCTGATTTAAATGCATTTTGGATTTTAAATTTTGGTATTCAATGTTTATTTACTGCTTCTTTTATTATATGTTCTAGATTTTCGTAGTCGCTATCAGATATATTCATAATTGTACTTTCTACTTTAGAGTATAGAGTTGTGTAATCTAAGGTATGATACTTTACTCTCTTTTTCGTTTTCGGCATATAATTGACAACTTCTCAATATATTTGCTTGTGGTCCGACATTGGCGATTCCACTTTAGTCAGATGGAATTTATGATTTTTCAAATTGGATGAGACATGGTCAAGAATTGATTCTTTAGTCGGTGTATCACAAGTACTAAATTTTGTGTGTGCATTTTCTAGTAGTATATTTATATAGTTATCAATTGATTGGTTAGGATTGAGCAGATTGTAGTTGAAACCACCGATCACTAATGTTTTTTGCCCCCTCATCAGCTGCTGTGAGTATTCCTCCAGAAACCTATTGTTATTTGATTATGGAGTTTTATATATAGTTAAAATGTCCAACGAGTATTTACCCAAATGAACCCATAAGTAGTAATTGTCCTCTTTAGAAAGATCTTCTATGTAATTGTATTTTAAGCAGTCGTGGACAAATATGGATACTCCACCTCTTTTGCAACATATACCATGTATGAAATATAAACCATCTTTATCATACAGGAGAAAATCCTAGTGTAGGAGTAACGTTTCTTAAGAAAAATAAATAAATTTTATGCCAGCATTCGGTGAAAGAGTCATGGTACAACTGCAGCATGCGTTTTCAAATAAGCAGAAGAAGCGAAGACATGTATAATTAAGACATGTGTAGTTTTTCTTATTACTTTTATGTTTCTTAGGTATGTTTCTAAATTAGGTTTGTGATGATTTTTTTGTACATTTTTAATATACATGTGTGGATTGAGACAAATAAAAGGGTTTATTATTAAGGTACGTGAGGTAATATGGTCACCTTAAGCTTTGCCATCCTATAAAACCTGAACTAGAAGAAGGACAGAGATAAAATCAAAAACTCGTATACTCTAACTAATATATTAAGACGAAAACTAACAAACAAGCTTTGGCTTTGGTTTTTAGGAAGACTTCGAAAAATCTACTAAAAAATCTAACTACACCACACCGTTAATTCTACTCTATTCTATTCTAATCAAGATATTTACTATAATGTCAACTGTCAAAATGATATATGTCGATAAAGCATCGCTCTTTTGACTCTTTATTAATTGATTGACCTATGAAGAGCTATCGTATCACAAAGCCATCTATGCAAATAAGGCTGTAAGTTTTTGACTTACAAGAAAGTGACCATATTAATCAGATGACTATATTACCATCACATACTATATTATTATATTTGTTGCCCAGGGCGGCGGTTACGGCGTGGCGCGTTCGCAGTCAGCAGCGGGCGGGCGCAGCAAGTCGCCGCGGCGCTCGCTGTCGCCCCCCAGTGACCGCGACGCCTGGCGCTATACAGGTGCCGCGTCCGCCGACCTCTCTGTCGACTGACGACCGTCGGCTTTGTACTGCCGGTTTCTGGCTATCTTTCATACAAAATCAGTTCAGCTGCTGAAGGCGATATCGATATTGTGATCGAAGTCGCCTTATTATCTGCGGCAACTGCAAATGTCTACTACCAACACAACATTCCCTATGAAATCTTTTTACATGAAATAAACTACCAATTACGCCTTTCATTACTGCTGCCGTGTGACCATATCGAAGTGCCGTCTGATTGTGATCGCTGGCCGCACTTCGGTCTCACCGCCTGTGGAACTGTGAGCGGGCTCGACCCCGCACGGAACACTCGCGATTCGCACGGTCTCTCGCACCCGCTCATCATCACTTTACTATCACTTACTGTCTTGACTTCCTCTTGATTTTTATTTTCACGCATCTTCCGCCGACCTCGTCCTACTCTACCTTATAGGAGCACGCACTTCATTCTTTCAGGTTTTCTTATTTTTGTATTTAAATAATTATACTTTGTAAACGTATCGCAAAATCTCATGTGATTCGCATGTCACTTCAAAACTGATCTCGTTTCTTTTTATTAAGCTTATTCATATATAGACGTGGATAAAATGTTTAAGGTAATTTCGAACGAATATAAAAGAAATGTTTGAAATTTGCATAGAAGGGGTTGTAAAGAAGGAGGTAGAGTGTGGTTGCACGAGATAGCGAATGTGACGTTGCAGTGAGCGGCGAGCGCGCGGGCGGTGCGGGCGGCGAGGCGCGGCTACCGACGCACGCGTACGCGCCGCGCTTCCAGTCGCGCTCTGCCACCGCCACGCCCACCACCAGCCCCAAGAAACGACAGCTGCCGCAAATACCGCACCAGGTGCGCATATATATCTCACCGAGACCGGGGAGTCTAACTCTCCGTTCCATCCATCCATTACTGCCTATAAAAGTCCATCGTTGAACATAGAGAAGCCTGAGATTACCTAATACGCGGGAAGGAAACCACAGCCCAAGTAGTACACAAGCGGTTTAACAAAGCGGTACAATAGCTGCTAAACAGGTATATGTAATGACTTTACCTTCATAAGTAAGTGCTACAGCAGCGATAGAGAACTTCTTAATCATTTCTATACCCCTGAAAAGGGCCCACTTTATACGGATGGTTCAGTGCACAATAGCGGTACGATAGTGTCATAGTCAGTTTGTAAAGCGATAAAAAGGTGCATAAAATGTGATTTTTGGAGCTAAAAGATATACAAGAATTTCTTGTGCCACCTCTTTAGAACTTGCACATGATTGCAACGCGACAGTAACTCGTAATTAAATTTTAAAGCATCTTAAAGGTATTTTTATATAGTATACCTAATTATGAATAAATTGAATGACAGAACATAAATGACAAATATTATTTCGGTAATTTTATACCATCGCGGTACCCACGTTTTATACCTCTAGAAAATCGAAAAATCGTCCGATTTTTCGATGATTTTTTAAAATCTTCAGTTTTACGGCGAATTTACGAAAAATATTACCGGAATAAAAAATATTTTTTTTTCATAATCTACACAAAAAACAAACAAATTAAAAAATTATATAAAAATATTGATTTTTCATGTTTTTACAATTTAAAATAATAACAATTTCTCTTAAAATTGACTTTTTCTCACACATTACTTCATCCCCACCCCCCTCCCCCTCCTGCCAAACGATTCTAAATTTCAATCGAGGGAAGGGGGTGGGCATTCCCTTACCCCGACACCACTCCCATAAAAGGTGTCACACCGTTCTTGAGAAAACCAAAAAGAAAATCCCGTAGACCTAACCTCAAAATGAACTCAAAATGAGTGGGAGGGGGTGAAGAGGAGGCGGGAGAGTTGTAGAGTCGCCTCCCACTTCCACCCCCTGCCGCATATGCTTAGTTATTTTAGAAATTTTTAAAAATCTCATTTTGAGGTTATGTTTTCGTAATGTTTTTGACATGATTTATGGGGGGGGGGGGGAGAGTTGGGGGATGGAAGCAACACGCCACTCAACGTAGCGCACGCGCAGTCGAAGGAAGCCCGATCGATGGAGTCCCGTTTGACTTCTGAGTGATTTATGAAAAAATAACCACGAAGGAGATGGCAGGCGGAGTAGAGTACGGCTCTAGTGATAATTATTTTAAGACCTTAAAAATCTACAATCACCGAACTCTGGAGTATCTACTCCATAGTTCGGTGTATTTAATCTCAAAATTAGTTTAGTAATTTACTAATTTTGAGATTAAATACAGATAGTGACTATATTTATACGATATATTTCACAATGTACCGCTTTTGGTGCTTCTGTCGAGCTTATAATTCTCCAATATGGTAAAAGTTAATTTAAAATTATTATCTATAGATATATTGTAAAGTTGTACTTTAGTGCTACATTATGCAATATTTTTAACTCAATTAAAGCGCCTTTATCTTCGTTATTTTACTTTTAGGTATCATAGTGTTAATAAGTATATTAAAACACAGCTTTATATCCAATGCCTGTATAAAAGCTCTACAAACCACTTTTTGTTTCCAAAGCCATTATCGTCAAAACTAAACAGCTATTTTATCACTCTATCGCTTTTAAAGATATAGGTATATAATAATCTGTTATATACAGGTTAAGAAAGATACAAACTTCCTTAAACAGATGTTATACAGTGAAAGAGCGATACAGTGTCTGCTTATATTGCTTGTGTGCTACTTGGGAGTTTTTAATTATTTTGAATTGTTATCAGGAAAATGATGCTGCCCACTTCGTTTTAGGTTCCCTTTGTCGCCTCTTATAACGCCCAAGGGGCGATATAGGGTAGTCGTTATTCTTATACCACTACTACACGGTTTAGCCTTACTCTGTTGCTAAGCAACAGGACATATTTATTTTACTCCAGCACTAAGAACAACTTCCATTCTTTTACTTTCCGTTCTGACGGTACTTGATAATTTTTGACCCTCGAGCTAACGAACTTTGCACGCACCAAAACAACGTGCACGTGCACTTACACTACAAGCAAGACCAACCCGCCATTGCAAGACAAATATATTATACTTCATAAGAAATCAACTAGCTGCTATTGGTTCTTTTTATTCCTCAGACGAAAATATTTACACGAAAACACGCCGTAAACACGTTGCGCAGGATGAGCGAATATTCGCAGTAGGTAGAAGATGACACGGATATTTGACGCATCTCCGCGTTGCCGGTCTACATGATCTACTGTTACTAGATTGCCTCCCATTTTTTAGAAGAATATGACGAAACCTTTCATAATACATATAACCATCTCGTCAACGCGTAAAATGTCAAGTGAATTAAGTTAATCAAGATTAAGGCAAATCCTCTCTAACGGGAGCGTCCCATGTCCTGTATTAGACTTCAAGTTTCTGTAGAGGAAGAAAAAGAAAAGGAGAAATATGTATAAATAATGTCATTTCCTCCAAGTGCTACCAGCACGAAATTACCACCATCATCATTCCAGTCAAATTCTCCCCTGTAAATTACTTCGTAGAGGGAATATTTTCCAAGTGAAGACGGGTTGGCAGATTTTTTAAATTTTGTGTTGTTCTCAGGAAGATGCTGCTATCCATCTCCTGTCTTTGGTTGTCTCTGCTGCCTCTTATGATACCCATCTTTATCCCATAATAGATAATTATGGTATAAAGGATTTCCTATGCCGCTACTAAAATAGCACATGGAATATTATAATTCATGGATAAGTATATATCGATCGTCTGACGACAGAAAGTTCAGTCGACAACCACTGGCCAAAATTTTATAGACGTTATTAGGTACAGTATTCCAGTGCGGTCTTAACGGTCACCTACTCGCCGCCACACCATTATGATTATGGGCAAAACTTCAGTCTAATGCTGGGCAGCTGGTGCATTTCTGTTCATCACATGGTCGTTTTAGTCTTCGTACTATTTAATAAAATGGACTTTAAAACAAAGAACTTAACAATAGAAATTATGGGTATGATGATGACGATGATGATGGTGAGGATGTTGTTCACCTGTTCAATTATAGTATGCGAAAAAAAATTAGAGTTGCAACATCATGGGGTTTTAGTTGGTGCAAGTCCAATATAACCCGTCCTTGTCCCGCGAGGCGGGTATACGTAATAATTTCCCCATGTAAAAATAGGGTGCAAGGTTAGAGACACGCGAATAATTTATATATTTCTAGTCCTAACTGTACCGTACCTGATATAGTACCTAAGTAGTTAGACTGAAGATAAACTAAAATGCATAGAACGGACAAATTCACAACCAAAATATGTTCGAAAACCACCAATTTGTTTTTTTTTGCGCACTCTGGCTCCTCCTGTGATGCGGACCCTGAACCCGCGCCGCAGCAGCCAGACATTCAGACTATTAACCTCACAAACAAAATAGTAGGTACGAATATAATGACCAGATTCTAAGTAATGTGTTTTACAGCAAAGCAACCAGAGGGGGGTGCGAGCTCAGGTGTCGGCGGACTTTGAGGAACGTAAGTGGATCGCCCCGCATCACATTGGCGCCACACTCACGTACCGCAGCACGCCTCAAGGTCAATACACCACCCTCACCCTATCCCAACATTACATTGTATATAAATACAAAAAACAAATAGCCGAGCGTTAGTCTCGCAAAAACACGGAAATGCCTCAACCGATTTTAATGAACAATTTGCTTTAAACGGTAATAAAACGAAATATTTATATTCACGACATAAAATATAAGACAAGTGATAATAGTGTATTTTTAAAGGGGCAGGAGTTGAATCTTGTCGGATCCACTATTTATCTCGGAATAATATATAGTTGACGCGAAGCTTCAGTGGGGCGTCTATATATTATATAAAGTAGCTGGCAAATTTAGTTCTGCAGCATGATTATGTTGTAAAAAGATGATAAGCCTTACATGTGTTAAAACAGCTAGAATAGTTTATTTCTGTTATTTCCCTAGCCTAATGCATAACTAAAGCATAATGTCGTATGAAATCTTGCTATGTGGTAATGCGACTGACATTGAAACTATCTTTGTTTTGCAGAAGAGGGCCATAAGAGCAATTTATAACATATGTAAGTAATAAGGAGGTAGAGAAAAACTAAGAAAAACAACTTTCGCCTCCCCGTATATTCACAAAAATTTAAAGTATGCATACAAAAACAAAAAAAAAAATACGTGTGGCACTCGGTGACTGCCACGGTAAAGCTATTGCAAAGCATTTTTTAACAACTTATTAACTTATTATTTATGCAGTTAAGTCTTTGATATTAAATCAAGTTACACTTTTTGAGAGTGGTGACCGATAAGAAAACAATTTTTTTTTCTCTTATTGAATAAATGAGAAGTTAATATTGTTTAAAATATTTTTAATATCTTACGTTACATGTAGGTTATTCAGGAATTTTTATCATTGAGTTAGCAGCTAGTGTACACGCATACGTCTAGTCGCACGCACACAAACACCGTGCCGAACTCTGCCGAGTGCCGAAGTCTGCCGAACTGAAACGACGTTAGACGATGCACGGCTTTCAACGCCACACCTCCGTGCCCGTCGGAGTGGGGAGCGTGAGGTTTTTTTCGTTACGGAATCTGGATTCGGTCCCCGCGCTCAAGGCCCGCGATAGAAGCTATGCAATAGCTTAATAGTTTTAATTAAAATAGTGTTGTACATTCTGTAAATACTAGAAACAAGCACAAAGTTACATATACCAGTTACCCGACTCCAAAGAGCCAGTAATTTCTTCATGGGAAAATGTGTAATACGGTTTTACAACAAAGTCAAAAAATATTATCATTAAAAATCTTATCTACCAAAAAGTTTAAAATTTTAAATATTTTTTTAATAAATATTAATATAAGAGTAATTACCTGGGAATGAGGTGATTGCTATTACGCTGTTTCTAAAAGTTTTCACATTTAATTGTATAACATAATAGATATATTGTAAATTGATGTTTAAATAATAGTCTCGCGGCGTTTCTTTGTGGTCCTTATCAGGATGGAGGTTTCTTCCCGAACCAGTGGTAAAAGCATGATTAACTTTCAAGTATTTTTGTTTGAACTAAATCTTTGTATTAAGAAAAATCTATTCTATGTATATTTTTATACGTAACTGGTTTCTCAGAAACGTCTGTAACAATTGGTTGAAATTTTCGCATTTAGATAATGATTTACTTTATAAGTTTTTCTATACAGATGTATCCCTGACAGAATAATTATTTTTCAATTTTTAATAATTATTTTAATGTAGGTACTTAACAATACTAAGGTTAAAACGTAATTATTATAGACGACATTAGACCTAATCAAGTATCCACAGTATCAAAATAAACTTCAACTCTCTTTAAACTGTGCTTCAGCTATGTTACATTGTGTCTAGACATTTTCAATACAAAGATGGATGGTGGTTTAGGATGTTGATTAAAATATGAATGGTGTATAGGGTGGGAAAGGCACTATGCGGGATTGTCGGACTCGGAACTGGCGGCGCGCGGGGGGAAGTGGAGGCGGAGGCAGCGGTGGAGGGTGGGCGCCGCGCCGCCGCCTGTCGCCCGATGCCGCCGCTGGCGACTCCGACCTCGAGTCTGTTGGCTCAGTAACTTCCAGCGCTTTCAGCACGCAGTCGGAACGACCACAACCCACCCGCATGCTTAGGTATGCGAACATTAAAATTTAATTTGGTCTTATATGACTACCGCTTAAGGTATCAATCAAACGTAATAAAATTACATGCAGCAAGAATACGTAGACTCGATCGTGGAAAAATCACACAATCTCACAGAAACATAGAGTACCAGTGTAAAAAGGCAGCCATTTCGTATATCGAATGTACAAAACCGATTTATTTACTTAGATGTAATTTATACGAGGGTGGATTGAAAAGTACTCGGCCTAATACAGATCCATTCAATTCTAAAAATCAAATCTACCCACATTATTTAGTTCAGTTCAGACTAGTTCATTGTGTGAAGTTCGAAACGTGTGCGATAATTAGTTGTGATTTTATAAATTTATTAACAAAGTAATCGGACATAATTTCCGCGAATGGAGCAAATCGAGCAGCGTGCCGTCATTAAGTACCTCCATAAGAAGGGGCTATCATCAAAAGCCATCCATGATGACATGGTCAGTACATTAGGCGATTGTGCTCTGTCATATTCATCCGTCAAAAAATGGATAGCAGAATTTAAGCGTGGTAGAGAGAGTGTGAAAGATGAACTCCGCTCTGGAAGGCCTTCGACGTCAACTACTGACGAAAATATTAAAAAAGTACTTGATTTAATAATGGGAGACCGCAGATTAAAAATTAGAGAGATAGCCGAGATTATAGGCATCTCTTATGAACGAACTCAAAACATCATTGTCAACGAGTTGGGTTTCCACAAGGTGTCTGCGAGGTGGGTTCCGCGACTGCTTTCAGTTGAACAAAAAAGGACGCGATTGACTATTTCACGTGACTGTTTGGAGTTATTTGAAGCCGATGCAGATGATTTTTTGAATCGTTTTGTTACTATGGACGAAACATGGGTTTATTACTGTACACCGGAAACAAAACAACAATCAAAACAGTGGAGAAGACCTGGTTCACCACCCCCTAAAAAAGGCTAAGTCGATTTTGTCGGCAAATAAGGTGATGGCTTCAGTATTCTGGGACTCAAAAGGTGTGATTATGATTGATTATCTTGAAAGGGGTCAGACTATAAACTCTGATTACTACTGCACCTTACTACGTCGTTTACGAGAGGAAATAAAAGAAAAACGTCGAGGAATGCTCAGAAGAAAAGTCCTGTTTCATCAAGATAACGCCCGTGTTCACACGTCAGTACAGTCAATGGCTGAAATTCACAACTGTGGCTTTGAACTGTTACCGCATCCTCCGTATTCACCTGATCTGGCACCACCAGACTTCTTTCTGTTCCCTAACCTAAAAAAGCACTTGGGAGGTCAAAGATTTTCGACAAACGACGAGATCAAAGCAGCTGCAGACGCATATTTTGACTCTAAGGAAGAATCATTTTTTTCAACGGTCTAAATGCTTGGAAGGGGAGGTGGCAAAAGTGTATTGAACTTGATGGTGATTATGTAGAAAAATAAAAATATAACTGATTTAGTATGTGTTTATTTTCTTGGTTAGGCCGAGTACTTTTCAATCCACCCTCGTATGAACTGTCGATAGGCAAACTCCAGAGAGCAGCGAGCCACTTGGATCACGTTCAGCCAAAAATATGGGTTTAGATGAAAAATTGTAAAGGTGTGATAGGTGGATAGCCTATCGCCTACACAATCACAAACCCAATATCCTATTACAACTCGCGGCACGAAAGTCTAGCGGTGAGCGTTATTGCGCATAATTGGCCGTATTGCGCATTATCTCGTATGATTGGCTGTGCGTATCGTTCGCACGCGCAGATTGGATCTCCTTATATCATATCATATCATTCTATCTCCCGTACCGATGCGTCATTCGTAGCTATCCCCTCCACTTTTCGTTTAGCTCTAGAGTTACGTGCCGCTAGTTATACTTGCCCTTGACGACTTGCTAGAAAAGTAACGCAGTTGGCACATTCCTTATTGTTTTAAGCGTGTTCTTTTTTTAAATTCATGTTGAATATGAATTGTTAAAAATGAACTGGCTAACAAACTTGCAGCTCACCTGATGGTAAGTGGCTACTGTAGCTCAAGGACACCAACAAACAATTACAAACAAAGAAGGCTAAAAATGCGTTTTCATCCCATAACACTCACAGATGTAATGAGTAATGACTCATAATCTGTAGTTATACCGACTCTCTATACCTTTTAGACTAGAACACAACAGCGTAGACACTGCTGCTTGGTGGTAGAAATAGGTAAAATGGTGGTAACCATCAGGACCGACTCTTAGAGAAAAAAGGAAAATACCACCTAGTAAAACATTTGGAACTAATTAAGGTTTAGCTTTTTGTCTTTAGGACAATAACGTAATGAAAAACGAGCTAACCGTTCGTAATATGTTGATAAATATGTACATGTCACACAGTTGACACTTGCAGTCAACTCCAGAAAGCTTAAGATGGGATGACTCATGTGCCTACAAATAAATAAAGTAGGATAACATGCCTGTAATAATATTTCCTCTTTTATCTTCAAAGGATATTACAGTAGGACCCAACACTGCTTAGTAGAAGTAATAAAGCCAAAAAGTTGAATTAATATTATTATGTAAGTAATCTGAATCTGTCACGTATGGACATCTATTACCCCTTTTCGCTCCATGGGTCTCTCAAGAGGCGGCTATTGGAAATGCCATAAAAATCTCATGGCATACGATCAATGGCGGTTTAAAAATCTTGTTTACGCCTAACATAAAATACCCAGACCGGCAACGGTAAGCAGAGTCAAAGGTTTGAGACATCTGGTGCTGTTATCGCCAATCCGCAAGCGTGGCAATTAAGGCGCAATCTTTCCTAACGGGGGAGGTTCATGGCCAGTTAGAGATATTATGAGTTTATGATGATGATAATATATAATGATGATGTATCTATAAGTTGTGGAAATAAGTAAAATAACGTAATCAAACGTAGGAAGTAGCAAAGTTATTTACCTGCGTCTTTAGACAAATTTCAGCATATTATTATGATTACAAATATGCTAAAATTTGTCTAAATATGCATTATCAATAGCTTCATTTAGTTCGCATGTTAATAGAAGACTGTATTTAATAAGCAATAATAGAATTTTTAAGATATATTTACTTAATGCGATAGTTTACTTATGACAAATTGCCAATCTAATACTTGCCAAGTTATCGTATTGTTCACATCATTTTTCAGCAGGAAGCGACCTCTCCCTTTTCATAGTACTTCGTCCACTTATGATAGCGCTATTTACCCTAGCGTTCATTATAATAATGAAAAGTATTTTTACATGTTGCCATACGCATGCGACGCTGTTAGTAGAAAAGAGCACGCAACAAGACGTCTTTTTCCCTCGCGAGCTTACTCTGACTATGATGAAGCACCACCAATGCATTACGCACATCCTGCTCACCGTTTTAGACGATTATTGGCTCGAAGCCGCTCCCTCGGCCATCCCATTAGAGAATATTCACGGCGTTTCATTTTTGAACGAAGTCTAAGCTGTCCTGAACGTAACGACCCTCAATACTCAAGTAAAACCATCAATTCTAGATCGAACCATGAATTTCCACCAACCGTCGCCGTGCATCATAAACCAATTTTATATGCAGACGGAAAATGTTCTTTACCGAAATCTGATACACACTTTGAGCGTCCATTAAAAACACAAAATTCTAACATAACAACACAAAATCTAAGCTACTTGCCTAGTCATTTTAGGTACTGGACTAAAGATATTCTACATTTGGAGAGTCCTAAATATTTAAACTATAAAAGACTGCCAAATTTAGACATATCAAACCAATCCTTTGAATTGTTAGACCACTTTTCGTATTTAGATTCGAACAACTTAAGCGCAAATATTGCATTAAATTCTTCTTTGGATGAAACGCTCGAACCAACGTCTCAATATTACGGTTATGAAAGTGATGACAGCATAGCAGAAACGGCTATTCATGTTAATACTGGGAAACGAAATGATTTTGATAAAGATCTTACTAATCTATACGATAAAAGATCGATTAGTTTAGAATCTCCTGATTTTTTTCATACTGACACTTTGTACTCGCCCGTTGATCATTTATACCAAAATAACAGAAAGAAGTTTTTGTCACTTAACCTTAGATCAAATTACAATAATGATAGATATAAAAATGTCACAGAATCTTTAAATTTAGATCGAGATGCTTTAATAAATGAAAGTTGGATCCAAAGTCCTAAAACAGTATATAAGCACAAAACTAAAAACGTTTTTAAGTATAATCGAGACTCTCATAGACGACATACAATTTCTGACGGTAATAAATCTATAACTCCAGAAAGAAATAATGATATTTATATGAAAATTCCTCCAGTATTTAATCATCGGTTTGATTTGCATCATAAAGACAAAACTTTAAATGGTATATTTATGAAAGAAAATAACACAGTTAGAACAAACAAAATTCCATACAATGAGTATCGTTCATCAATCTCTCCAGACTTTCCTCATCGTTCGTACCCATCGGCACGCAAACCACAACCATCGACTATAAAAAGCGCTCGTTCTCGTTCCATAGCACCTGCAAATCACTTAGATCAACATTTTAGTATGATGGCTAATTCTATGTCTGTTGCTCTTGATAACCCGAACCTCGACTCGTCCCGTCGTGCGCTCACTCCCGCCGGCTCACACTTGCCAAACGATGACATATCTCACAACGCGCCGAAACCTGCGTCGCAAAAACCAATCGACGATCAAACAAACTCACAACAACATGGCGATTGTGATAAAAACGAACAACAACCGGTGAAAATTCATACGAAAAATCAACAACACGAAAAAAAATCATCCATCGCGGATTCAAAAAACAGTAATGATTATGGAGGACGTGACAATGGACGAAATAATACCCAGCAGCAACCGCTAGAAAGGCGCGAGTCTCGCCGGGGCCAGCTCACCAGGAGTCTAAGTAATACTGATGCACCTGACGAAAAAGCGGGTATGTATAAACAATAGTAATGTATGTAAATAATGTTTTTTGGGCATTTTCTTCTACTACACTATAGCGGCATCACAGAATCTATCGTCTTATCTGCTATGGGTATCTTAAGACTTACGACCGATGACGGAATAATCATCTAGGTAATAGGTACAAGCCAGACCTATTATAACCAAACTACGCGTTAAAGCTGCTAAGGCTCTGGTATCCTGACGTTAATTTAATACAGATTGACACTGATGGTATATATGTTATGAACACCTGCAGTAACCAACAGACATAGAAGGCTGCAGATGCGTTGTCCCCCTGAGGATTAAGGTGGACTGGCTCTCTTATTACAACCCACCTAGTTAAATAATAGTATATACCAATACATTACAATATTTTTATACACATTGAGATCACTTTGAACATAGACCTCCCCTAAGGAATTCCAAAAACCACGGTCCTGAGCCTATGTGCAGCAATGAGCTTGTAAAGGGCTGTAATGATGATGATGATGCTATCACTCGAACAGGTTCTCAATATAGTTTTTAGATAAGTCGGCTACAGTAAACCGCTGTACATAACTATTTCTTACACCGCGTGAGTTACCTATATTCACTGTAGTTTTCATATTCCTTACTTGGTATTATAAAGTACAAGAGAATGCCTTTGTCCATCGCCTGGTTGATAGGAACCTCTTGCGACTAACTATAAACTAAAAGTAAAAGTCGTTTTCGAATTATACTTTATTGAAAAGTAAGTCGAATAAAATAATGTTAATCATGAGGTGTCATGGTCCGTGGAATTCGTGGATCCGTGAGGAATAGTGAGAATACTATATCATAGCCATGACATTTTTGTATTGGATCAGTTCACCACTCGAATGTCGGGATCATTTTGGCCAATATAGCACATCTGTCGAGCACTTTCCAAAGTACTAAGTAAGTATATAATATGTATATAGGTATTAATATATATACTAAGTAAGTACATTAAAATCATATACCTATCAATGGAAACGCTATTAAATAAGCTATCAGTATGCATAACAGATATATATGTTATATATATTCATATATATGTTACAAATAGTTTGCTATCTGTCGACGCCGTATTGTGGCGTTTGACAGATGCGCATATTATTTGAGACGCCAGAATATGGCGTTTGGACAGACGAGGGGATATGTCTCCAAAGTTAAGAATACGAGTAATTAGACGTCCGAAAGTGGGGGTTATCTGAATTTAAATAATGCCATTACTTTCACACGTTAACGCAGGACTTAGTAATAAAAAGTGAATTTTTAACTGAATGTTGATTAAATTTTATTTCGTTTAAAAGACGGAAGTCTAAGCGACACCGCAATAGGGGGCAGCAATGAGATGGAACCAACCAGCGATGACGCCTTATTAAAAGCCGAACCGAGAGACTACTTTGGGCCTGGTATGGGAAAGAAGAGCAATTCCACTTCTCAACTGTCTGCTACAGGTAATTTTCCTTAACATTATTTTGGATGTGTTTACTTGAACTTATCTTTTATGTTCCCAGATAAAGCGCGAAAATTAACATAATTATTTTATTTTTATTTTCGTTAAATCATGACTTATGGTTATACATTTATTTTAAAATGCCCGGCAGGAAGAAAGCGAAGGTTAGGTTTTGGTAAACGGGGAAAAAATTCGTTTACTGTACAACGAAGCGAAGAGGTGGTGCCCGGTGAATTGAGGGGGGGCGCGGGTGTATCCCGGGCCTCCTCAGCCTCCAGCGAAAATGACGATGACAGGTTCGCAGCAATCACCCTCGCGACATTGACACAATAGTGTGGTACCGGGGGGCGGTAGATCTCATTTTGATAGTACTACATACAAATCCACTAAGGCTAGAACGACGAATTCGCATATAATTAGCATCGCTATGTATTTATGCCGAAACTAATATTTTATAGCATGCTAGATTGTCCACTTTCAGTTTAGAAATATTAAATGTGCGATGTTGCTTTTGTAAAGTCAGCCAATGTAGAGCTTGAATTAGTCGACAATATGGATAAATATGTAATTTCATTATACCTAATAATTTTTTGAGTTCACATCGAAAATTATATTAGCTGTTATAGAAATATAAGCATATGAATTTATTACAATTGCTAATTGCTGTAACGAAACGAAAATATTTTTTTTCGTCGATCAATATTACAAATTCCCTGTTAAGTCTATATGTGTGACGAAATGCCGTGCTGCGACGGGATACATTGGCATACTAAATGTTATCGGTATTAATATTGTGTTTACAACGGTTAATAAATGTATCGCACTGGGCTGGTGCGCGCTGTGATGTTAGAGGGCGGCAGCGGCGCGCGCCGCAAGCGCTCCGGGCCTGCGACCACCACCTTCAAGCGCTCGCACGAGGTGTGCTCCACCAGCCTCGTCTCCATATCTAGCTCGGAAGGATCTTCGTAAGTCGCTCGGCCGCTCCGCTGCTTACCGCAGACTGCTACGAGTTCAATTACTCCGATCTCTATGTGTGCATCGATGTTGCTCACGTCTTCTTTACTCTAACCTCTGTGTGCCTCTCGTCTTGTAAACGCATGACGCCATTTTGTACCGGTGTTTATTTTTTACTTCACTTTCTATCCTGTTCAGCACGCACAAATCTTCTAACGCATAGGCAATGCACCTCCTTGAAAACGTGACAATTATACCTAGGTATCGACTCTAACGATAACGTAAACTGAATTTCCGAAAAATGCTTTATAATTATAACGCAAAGAAGGATGTTTTAAGAATCACAATCATTAATTATTGTTCGCTACATGACGCACGAGTGTTGTTGGATCATAAATGTTGCCTTAAAGCGTTTGTTTGCATCAAAATAATATATTTACTTGTTTTGATTAAAACTACTTTTACGGATTTTTTCGCGTTTTATTTATATTAATTTTAATACCCGACGTTTCGGGTGCTTTCCAGCATCCATGGTCACGGGGGACTGAGGTGACTGACGTCCCGATGTCAAAGTTAACCCGGAGTACCTTCAGCTTTTTAATTATTGTTTTTGGTCCGATCTACGCAGAATGAACTAACTGTATTTTGAAGTCTTGCAGTGGTATGCTTGGGTTTAGTTTTAATTTTATTAATTATAGGATCCCAAGCAGGTGGTAGTACCCAGCCTCCTTCTCTATTGAAATTAGGATGTTTTTTAATTTCAATCATCTCATGAGATCAATTAGAACCCGCGTAAAAGAACACATAGCTGATGTGAAGCATCAACGTTCCGGGAAGTCTGCAGTTTGCGATCATATTCTAGATGGCCCCAACCATTACATCAGATTTGATAGACCACAAATCCTCGCGAAAGAACATTGATTCCTACCAAGGATGATACGTGAGGTTATTGAAATTAAAAAACATGGTATGTATGTATGGTACTACCACCTGCTTGGGATCCTATAATTAATAAAATTAAAACTAAACCCAAGCATACCACTGCAAGACTTCAAAATACAGTTAGTTCATTCTGCGTAGATCGGACCAAAAACAATAATTAAAAATCTGAAGGTACTCCGGGTTAACTTTGACATCGGGACGTCAGTCACCTCAGTCCCCCGTGACCATGGGTGCTGGAAAGCACCCGAAACGTCGGGTATTAAAATTAATATAAATAAAACGCGAAAAAATCCGTAAAAGTAGTTTTAATCAATGTATAGTGTTCGCGTAAATATAAGAAATCATTATATTTACTTGTTGTAAACGCGGTCTTATTAAAAAGTGAAAACATCTTATTAATACTATATGTTACTTTAAACATACTTTGCATGTTACACTTAACAGCACACATTAATCACACTAGTCACATAAAAATAAAACATATAGTGTAGGGGCGCCGCAAGAGTACACGGGACCATGTCGACCAGTAGGTGTCGTAATAGGCGACTGACGGAAACTGAAATAGGAAATGGGCAGCATCATCTTCCTAATAACAGCTCTAAATAATCAAAAACTACGGCTACCCGCCTCCAAGCGTGGCAACAATGGCAAGCAATGGAGGATTGCCTCATAAGCATACATATACTATGAGGCAATCTATGGGAGTCCTATACTCAGCAATGAACTTTTATAGGCTATAATGGATAGATGGTGGATGAACATCAACCACACAAGTGCCTGGGTAAGTTTATTTTGTGTAATAAATTGTATTTTTTAAAAATATACTTACCAACTTATTTCTGTCAAAACATTAAAAACATTAAAGTATATTTAGGGAAAGTATGATTATAACTTACTAATTACTAACGACTTTTATTTGAAAATTTAGATGTTCCTATGTTTGTTGCTCAATATGTACTGAACAGATTTTATTAAAACGCGAGCAAAGCTATGGGCGAAAATTAGTCGTTAATAAAATTTGCCAATATTATGGCTAATAAATAATGGTGTAAATAAGTTATTTACCCTTTGTAATATTTTCCCTAAATTCATCTCATTTCTAGTTTATTAATTCATAATATACCAATTCCTAATTATTTTATTTGCTGTTGTATATATTCTATATATTGTTACGTATTTATATATTATACGGTGTAAACTCTTAATAACTAAATGTTTTCATTTTTCAATAAACAGATTTCTTTATTTGAAATAAAAAAGACAGTGTAATAAATACTCTTTTTTTTAGAACTGGGTAACGTTTATTTTCTGAGCCGATACTTAGCATTTTTTACATATCTTCTTTAGATGCAGATCTCGTCTTCATAAAGTTATAAAAATTAAGCTATGAAAATGTAAACCGGTATTATCATCGGTATTCTATCGGTATTAAAATGACTATCCAATAATGTTTATCGATTCCTTCACTTCACCCAACAAAAAGGATACAGATGTCTAAAAAAGTATCGTTATGGAGCCTGAAGTTTCCGTTAAAGAAGTGATTTTTGTGAATAAAACTAGTATTATAAACCAAACTATCTCCAGCTCCATATAGTTTTTGGTTATACAGGAATTGGTTATAAAGAGTTTACATTTACTCATAAAACTCTTCTGTACAACAACCAGTTTTTGATCCGATTTCGCTATAAACCTTTGTTATTTATCAAAAAGATATAACCCTTGACTTACCAATTGATAATTCCAAAGACTGCCGCCCTCTTCCCACTATTGTATCAATGTTGTTAGTATTGTAAGTTTTATTTACCAGTTGACAAATATAGTGTGACTGTAGTGAATCCATCATAAAGGATCTAATCATTTAGATGTACATCTTTTGTTTTAATTTCACTTTAATACATTAAACGTAGGGATTATTGTTATTTACGCTGTGCATTAAATAGATTATCCAAAATAATGTAAAACACATTTATTTTTACTCAACTTAATCTAAATTATTCATGATCACAATGATAAATATTTAAATCTATCGATGGATTCGAAACATTTTATAATTAAAACCATTGAAACCACCAGTAAAAAAAATATTTTATTTACCGGAGAGATGTCTACATATTTTTGAAATATGTAGATATCTCTCATTACTATTTTTCGTTGTGCACAGCAAAATTAATCCATAAACTTTCATTTCATGTATGTATATATTCTGAATTCAATTACAAAGACACTTAATTTTCAAATGAATAATTAGTATAAGTATTACATAAGTATTACATAGCTCCTCCAGCAAGTTGCATGTATTTTATCTCATTTACATTATTGATCATTCTTCAAAAAACATATTTAAAAGTACGTAAATTGCTCAGATACTTAGATGAATGTTTTATAAACTCAAACTATGGAAATTTTACAAGTCATCAATATCCTTTAAATATCACTTGGAAAATGCACACTTGTACGTCAAAAAAAGCAATTTACATACCTATGGCTGGGTTTCGTAGTGGATGTTATGTGTGTCAATGAAATCAATCTATTTTGATTTTTATTATCATGTTTAAAACAAGTTAGTATTTAAGTATAGTAAAGTAAACGTTTACCACACGTTTTAGGTTTACTGCAGATTATGGAAGCCTAACTTTAAGTCTGTATTTTTGTGTCCACTAACAAACAAAAAATATGAAGTAGGTACCAATATACATGTATTCTTGCTGCGACCATATTATCAAGACCTATAATATTTAGCGTACCGATAGTATATTTTGTAAGAATAATTTTTTTCACACTCCAGCGCGGGAATAGTTTGATACAATTTATATTGTCTTGGTTACAGCATGATTTGATGGGTACCTAATCGTATGGATGAAATATTGCGAAAAAAAACCAAATTTAACAAGAAAAATGATTGGATAAAAAGGACAATATCTGAATTTGTTTGTAATTAAGCAAACAGTGAACGTTTGAAAGTTTCTTCTTATTCAACGTCGAACGAACCGTTTGTTGTGAAAACTGAGTAATTTAATTATGGTCCTGTTTTATGTTTTATTTTATTAAAAAAAAGCACACATTACGTTAATATGCCCTAATAATTACGTGAACGTATCAGATGGTCTCCTGGGATGCGTGGATCGGGTTCATCGGATGGTGGTGGTTTGTCGGATTTCATCGACGGGCTAGGGCTCGGTCAACTTGTGGGAAGACAACTTCTTGGGGCACCAACTCTTGGCGATGTACAACTCTCCATGTGTTATCAGAAAGGTTTCTTGGAAGTGAGTTTTTCCATTAAACATATTATACTTGTTACTTGTTGTTGTAAGGTTATTAACCTTCCAATATTTTACGCATACTTTCCCCCTACTTATCCTGCATCTTTTTAATCATATTCCCTACCTAAAATGACGGCTACAGCTGGACGTAAGACACCCTGTGTACCATAGATATGCACCGCGGCAGCACATACGAAACATTATACCTGTGAATACACATGTGATCTCGCGCCGAGTTATTAAGTGCTGGTGAAGTGCGATTATCTGATTGCCTGGTTCCGATTATATCTTATATCTATCCTCGTAAGGATATCCACAGTGGAATCAGAGTACATGACATAGCCCAACAGAACAGTAAGCTGAAGTGGCAATGAGCCGGTCACATAACTCAAAGAACCGACTACGATGTACGATGGTGAAGAAAGGTTCTCGAGTTGCAGTCTCATACTGGTAAACAAAGTGTACATAGATAACACAAACCGTCCTTATTCGTCGTCCGCGCCACTCGCGAGGCGCGTTACCTAGTAGATAGAGTGACAACCTGGTAAGAGATGCAGGATCTCGATGGATACGAGCAGCGGCAGTGGTGCGTAGCGACCTATTCCATTACATGATATACAAGGCACGGTGATTGACGTGGGAGCAGCAACCAAACAAACGCTTCTTATGTTAGATCTAGTGACCTTTGACTGCGACAAATTTTAGTTCCTGTAGTGAAGCATTGCCTTGCTACGCGGCACGGGCCGTGCTGTAAACATTATTGCATCAACAGTGATGAACTATAACGCAATATAGTGTTGCCTTGCTACCGGTAGGATTATAAAGTGTCTTATTTAAAAAAAAATACTTCTCATCTTTCAGGTGGAGGTGATTCGCGCTCGAGGTCTTCAAGCACGGCAAGGCAGCCGCACTCTTCCGGCGCCTTACGTCAAAGTTTACCTCGTCAGCGGCAAACGATGCATCGCCAAGGCTAAAACGAGTACAGCGCGGCGAACACTCGATCCACTATATCAACAAACTCTTACTTTCAGGGAAAACTTTAAAGGGTGCATATTGCAAGTAAGTCGTAAAGGTAGAAGAGCTTACGAGGGTGACACTGAAAGTTTTTGGAAAATCATAAACTGAACAAACTAGCAAGTTATTAGTTTTATTATATCTTTTCAAAATAGTGTCCATTTATATCAATACATCGCAGCATCCGATGGAACCACTGAGAAAAGCACTTTGCCCATTCGTCCTTAGGGGTCTCTTCGACGGGATTTGAAAACGCAGCCACTGCTTCCTCGACGTCCAAAAAACGTTTTCCTCGAAGTTTTCCTATTATTTTCGGAAATAAATAAAAATCGAAAGGTGCGTCGTGGCTATAGGGCGGTTGACCCAGTAATTCCACGTCTGACGTCGCCAAGTCGTCGATTGTTTGCTTGGCGGTGTGCAACGAGGCGTTGTCGTGGTGAAGGAGGAACCCTACCTACTGTGAGGTCGTTTCTCCCGAACTTTTAACATGACAAGTGGCAAACAATTGTTAGTGTACCACTCTGCAGTAACTGTTTGCGATCCTCTTAAACAATTGTTGCATAATGATCTGTCCTTCCGAAGAACGAGGCCACCATCTTTTTTCCCACGCTTCGACCTCTTTTCACTTTAGTTGGCAACTCCTCGGAAGGAAACACCCAGACAGCAGACTGTCTCTTAGATTCAAGATCATAACAATAAATCCAGCTTTCGTCACCCGTAAATATGTCGGACACAGCATCAGCAGAAGCAGCATTCGAATCACCTCCGTTAAATCTTTGAACCATTTTACGACACCAATCAACACGACGGAGTTTTTGGGCCTCTGTCAAATTATGAGGTATCCACCGGGAACAAAGCTTCCTGACCGTTAAGTGTTCATGGAGAATTTTGTGCACTTGACTCATACCGATGCCTAAGCTTGTCCGAATCTGCTGATAACATCACTCTTTTGTCAGTCTCTATCATACGCCGCACAACACTGATGTTATCTTCAGTCGTCGCCGTAGAAGGCCGTCCCTCACGCAGATCATGGGTGAGATTAGTGCGACCACGTTTACTCATTAAACCAGTTATAATCAGATGCACGAGATGGGGCTTCATCGTGAAAGTCCAATCGAAGTCTATCATAACTTTCTTGTTGACTTAAATGACATCGAAAGTCATAAAACGTCATTGTATTTACGAAAATTTTCTCGCGTTAAAATCATGCTGACGTGACAGACAATTTTCAATTTGCCGCCAAATCGTAATCAAATGACAAATTATAAAACACATACACAATGGGTGCGCTTGGCAGAAAATAGCAGTATATTTCTTTTTTTATTAATTTTTTGTTTTGAAGTAGAGTTTATAAGTTGTTTTGTGCAATATTAGTTTTAAGTAATATAATGACATGAATAAACATATTTATTTATGATTGGTAAGTTTTTAATATGCATATTTTATTTTTAAATTAGGTAGATTCCTAGTGGACAATATATAGGCAAAGAGTTCCATTTTCGAAATTTGAAGTTATTTTTTTATTATATCGTTTACAAGTGGCCAGTTCTAAAAACTTTCAGTGTCGCCCTCGTATTAATAAAAATGCAAAATGAAATAAAAATTTGTTATCAGACCACATTTTATGATTTTATCAGATAGGTCAATTCAAAACGAATTTCGTAACGACGAAAGAAAGTTTTGGACAATCGTTTATGATAACATATTATTACGCGCAGACCTTCACGAACGCACTAGATGTGTTGAAACTTGCCCACCCACACGCCACCACGTAAGAAGTTAATGTTAACATATTAATATAACCAAAAACAAGTATTTAAAATAAATCAAAAACTAATACTACTTGGCGGGAAATGTGAGCCAAACATTCTTCATCTGATTGTTACGTCTGTCATATGTGGAAGAGGCGAGAAAGGTATGTCAGGATCGTGCTAAATGGAAGTCTGTAGTCTCTGCCTACCCCTCTGGGTGACGTGAGTGTTTATGTATGTTATATAGGTGGAAAATAAAATGGCGTTGAATTATACCAAATATAATTCAACGCCATTTTATTTTCCACCTTTTTGAAATTTATGAACTTATTTTCCTGCTGTTTCTCAGCAATAGAAATAATTGTTATTAAAACTTATATTAAATAAGTCATCGATATTGGTTATAAACCATTAAGCTCTCATATCCACTTGTTTATCACATAAAATGTCGTAAACTATATATTACAATCTTACATAGTACCTACATATTACAACTTTTCTTATCTTACCGTTACAGCCAATTAAACTCATCTACTGCACATGGGCCTCCTCCATAGATTGGTTCAAAGTGCGAAAGATTTGCCATAGTTTTGCGAGCGCGTTGGCAACTGCATTTTGTTTTTATTCGTTGTTAGGGAGACACTGCTGCCCATCTCCATAATCATCATTTTACCACATTTGTAGAAACCACCCTCTTACCAGTTTCAACCGCGAAGTAGCAATGTTGGCAGTGCTGGGTTCCGTGTATGAAGAGAACGTAATTATACTGGTTCTTAATCTTAATCCCCAAAGGGACCAACGCATTTTTAACCTTTTTTTGTTTGAAGTGGGTTGCAGATATCTATTTTTTTTTATAGAATAAGGGTGACAAACGAGCACACAGTACACCTGATTGTAAGTGGACACTATGGCCCATAGACATCTAAATTTATACTCGATTAAGAATCAAAACGCAGATGCGTTGTCACCCCTGAGGACTAAGATGGAATGCCTCGTTTCCAGTCAAAAAGGGTCTCCAAATCCCTGCACTCACCATACGAAACACAGCAGTATTAAGCTGCTATTTTACGCTGGTATTCTGTGAGAGCGTGGTCCTTCCCCGGTCGACGGCCGACCCATTCGTGCTACAGCCATAATGTAGCTGAAGCGTGGCTCTACCATGTCTATGGGCTGTAATAGCCACTAACCCTCACGTGGAGTGTAAGTCAGTAGAATGTTATTAAAAAAATATGTAGTTTTAGGTTATTTAATGTTTCGTATAGTGATTGGCGAATACTAGATACTCTTTTTACTGGTAACAATGCATTCCATCTCGGTATTCAGGGGTGACAACGCATTTGCATTTCGTTTCTCAATCGAGGATAGATGTGTCTGTAGTTCAAAGCATTCACTCACCATCAGGTGTACTGAGAAATAATTTATTATCTTTGCTTATATGTAATAACGCTCGTACTACTAATGCTGCTCAGCTGCTCACCGTTACGTGTAGGTGACCGAAGCCTTAGAATACGCATGTAGATTTTTTTATAGAAAAGGGGATAAACCAAAGTTGATAAGGGACAGCAAAATGTGATTAAAATATAACGTGTAAAAGCTAAATTTCACCTTACTTTTTTTACAAACTAATATTTCATGTACAGGTGACGGTATGGGGCGATTATGGTCGAATCGAAGGGAAGAAAGTGTTTATGGGCGTAGCGCAAATCATGCTAGATGACCTTAATCTTTCCAACATCGTCATTGGATGGTACAAACTCTTCGGAACCACTTCATTGGTAAATAATATTGTATTTTACGATATCAGAACTTGGTTAAAATACTTTGTTAAATACAATATTTTTTGTTTCAGTAACTATTGGTACAACGCTGGCTCGACGTTGAACCTGTGTATATCAACACAATAAAAATTAAATTTGTCCATATTATAATAAATTTAGTGATAATGCTTTAATATCATAATAAAATGCAAAATATCTTTAATATAGGACATTTTCTATAAACTGAAAGTTAAAAAGATTATTTTTATTTCTTTATTTGGGAAGCCTACTGAAGTTTTGAATAGATAGCATTTTATAGCAAGGAAAACAATGTGTATAGTGTAATCAATAATGATGTATATTAAGCATTAAAAAGCCAAATTAAAAAATGAGTTTTCGTATTCCTATCCCAGGTTATCTTATTGACTCGGTACCATAGTAAGAGGCAGGATTATTTCCAGGGAAGTGCACGTGTATATAATACATTATGCTTATTAACCAATTATATCGGTGTCTGGGGAGGAATTTGTGTGGGGGGGGGGGGGCGGACGAGGGTTGGTATGTGTGGTTAGAGGGGGCCTGTGTTTGGGGGGGCTTGAAGGGGGGGTGTGGGCTGTTTTTTGGGGGGGGGGTGTGGAGATGTATTGGGGGGGGGTGGGTGGGGGGGGGTTGGTAGGGGGGGTGGGTGTTTATGAAGGGAGTGTGGTGGTGGGGGTGTTGTGTGGGTTGTGTGTTTTGGTTTAGAGGAGTTGGGGTGGCCATAAAAGGATGGATAATCCTGGAACGCCTAATAGTACAGGTATCAAGCGCTCAAATAAAAATAAGTACAAAAAAATGTTCCAAGTGGTGAAAAAAATCTTTATATTTAAAAAAAAAATGTTTTTATTGACCTTACTGTACTTTCATGTACACCACTGCCGCAAATTAATTAAATTCGTTGCGGTTTTTGTGTTCCCTTATTCCTCACAGACTATTCTATTAGAAATGCAGTAAAGAGAATGAGTATCTAATTTCTATTGTACTTTCTTACAAAAAAAAACCTAAATTTCTCATGTGAGCATTCCTTTTGGAGTTCTGTGTGATTTTAAAGTCAGTGTTATAACAACGACTCCTGGCTATTTCATTGGACTCTTAGTTTTGCTTTGTGATTTGGACTTTATATGGTAATTTTACGACGACTTGGCTTGTATCTGGACTGATATTGTGTATCAAGATGCCACGTATTCAATATACGGCACAAGAATACACAAACATGCACTTTTTTGGCTTTAATTTATAAAGAATGCAGAAGCAACGCAAGTGCTGCTGCAGCCCTTTATAGGGAAGGATATCATACCAGATTACCGCGTATTCATCAGAGTTCACAGGTGTTATTCGGAAGGTAGATTACCTGGCAGCGTCATTGGTGGTATGAGCATTGAAAGACTAGCTAATATCAATACACAAGACATTGTGCTTAACGAAATTGAGCTAGACCCGTCCACCTCTACTAGAGTAATAGCACGATGTACTGGAATCTCGAAGACGACCATGCACCATGTACTGAAAAAAAAAATTTCATCCCTATCACATTAGACGCGTCCAAGCTCTACGACCGAGAGATTACAATGCACGATTGTTTTTTTTTTGTCGACAAATGTTTGCAAAAATAGAACAAGATCCACAATTCTTCGACAAAATTCTGTGTGTATTCTCGACACCATTTTAAAAGTTGTCATTATAGTAAATATTTTTGTTTTTGAGGTAGTGTATTTTTTTTAAGTAGATTTTGAAGGTTTTGGGATGAGCGATGAATCCACTCTTAAAAAAGACGGATACTTTAACATGCATAATCTGCATAGCTGGCAACTCTCAAATCCGCATCGAATGCGAGAAGAAAGATCACAATACCAGTTAAAAATAAATTTTTGGATTGGTATATTAAACGGAAAAATCATTGGTCCATTTGAACTGCCCGGAAACCTGTCTGGACAAAGTAATTTTAATTTTCTACAAAATGATCTGCCAAATTTAATGGAAGAGGTGCCTGAGGAGGTTAGACGATCCTACTGGCTACAAAATGATGGCTGTCCTGCACATTATGCTGCAACCGCCCGTGTGTGTTTAAATTCCACATATCCAAATAAATGGATTGGTCGTTTAGGCCCCATTTTGTGACCGCCGCGATCCCCGGACTTAAATCCACAATTTTTTTTAACTGTCTAAAAGAACAGGTGTACTTCAAGCCTATTTCAAGTTTGGGGGAATTGCGCAGTCGTGTGCAGGAGGCGGCTTCAAAAAAAACTTACGACTTCTTAGAAGAGCATTTATTAGAAGACGTCAAGCTTATATCAGAGTCGGTGGCAGACAATTCCAACACCTTTTATGAAATAAAGATTGATTAATGTACAACTTAACGCTTTTATTATGACAATTTAAGACAATTTTTTACTTTCATCAGTCGAATTTCTTCTTTTTGCATCTTAACGTTAAATAAAATTTCGTATTTATTACCATTTTGTAAACTGTATTAACTGCGCATATTTTTGAAATAGTTATCCACTTAGATGATCATATTTTTTTCACAAATGGCTCTTAAACTTTTATCAAAATTATTTTGTTATAAAATTTCATGTTAAAAATTGAAGTTTTTTTTTGCAAAAAAAGTACAATAAATACTCATACTCTTTACTGCATTTCTAATAGAATAGTCTGAGAGAAATAAGAGATCACCAAAAACGCGCTAAATTTCATTAATTTGCGACAGTGTTATACCTGAAAGTACAGTAAGGTCAATAGAAACTTATTTTTTGTTAAAACCCTCATATTTGATACCACTTAGAATTTTTTTTGTATTTTTGTTTGAGCGCATTATACCTGTACTAATAGGCGCTCCATGATTATCCATTTTTTTCGGAACATGCTGTATATAATTCATAACAATGTATTTTAGACGACAAAGGGAAACAAATCAAGAGATGGGCAGCAGCATCTTCCTGACAAGAACTTAGGATTAAAAAGAACTGCGGTTGCCAATCCGCATGCCAAGGGTAGCAATTACAGCAAATATCCCCTTGTCAAGCAATCTCAACATAACATTTGATTTCAACATAGGGAGGCCTATGTTGAAATTAAATCCAAACTCAAGAATACCGCTGCAAGAGTTCAAGATACTACAAGCTCATTCTGCGTAAATCGGACCAAAAATTAATATTCAAAAATTGAAGGTAGCCGGGATAACTATGACATCGGGACGTCAAATACCTCAGTCCCTACCGTGACCATAGATGCTGTAAAACACCCGAAACGCCGAAAATTAAAAGTCAAAATTAAACACGATAAAATACGTAAAATTAGTTTCATTTAATGTGTAGTGTTCGCGTAAATATAAGAAACAATTATACACGTTATATTTATAACAATAAATATTATTAATAGTATCTATAGGTACACAAAATTAGCAAGATGGCGTCCTAAATTTCGTTTTCCTTAGCGCGGTGTTCAATCTATAACACGGTAAATCGTAAATGTCCCATTCGCTTCAGTTAGCAAATACAGAATGCTATAGCGGTAACCTTGGTTCGACGACGAATTTCTTCATTAGGAATCGTACCAAGCAGAGAAACTCCGAACAAGGTTATGGTGTAGTCGTACCGTTAGTATGTATTTTTCAATGCCATATGTGCTTGTAGAATCCCGAATGCTACCCAGCATAACTGAATCCACCAATCCGTTTGTTTACTGGAAATTGTTTCTATCAAACTATACTATCTGTCTGAAATAGGTATACTCTTGAACGACTAAATACATTAATTTTATTTTACAGTTCATATCGCGTTTAATTTTATACCCCTATTACACTACCCTGAATCAGGCTCCCTACGCCTAGTCCCAACCTGAATTACGCCCGTAATTCAGAGTGGTGTAATAAGAGAAAGGGAGAAAGGGTAGGGATCCTTTCTCCCTATTAAGGCGTCAAAGTGGACCCGGTCTGCAGGGCCCTTCCACCGTGCAGTGTAATAGCACTAAGGGAGTTAGGGTACTTATTCGATGCGCGACTAGGGATGCAAACGATACATCAATTCTTTCAAACATCGATTTTTTTTCCGCCCGAAGCAAATATGGGCAACCCTCCGGAAAGCGGGGGAGGGAGGTTGGGAATGCTCATAGCATACCACGCAGCCGGCTGCGTGGTTATGTGGTGACTTTTACCCACTAAACCCAACCTTTTAGGAATTGGCTTAACGATCTGACTAGAGATCTCTAAGCCGTATACGAACGCGACCCTCCTTGGCAGAAAGGAGGGCGCAAGCGGCGAAAAGCCGCTTAGAAGAGTGCCTAACTAAGGCAGATTAAAGGATGTGTTATGTAGGCTCGGCCTGAGCCGTCAGGAGGCAGTTCAGGTCAGCCGAAAGCTTGTTGGGGGGGTCCGAGAGAGAGAGTTTCTCGGTCTGCGCACACTATAGCGAGTGTGGATAGGGGCTGCATAGGCAGCTGTCTCACGAATGAGATGATTTGGGTGGGATTCTGAGGCTTTGAAAAATCTCTCAGAGAGTGATTAAAGGAACTGCTGGATTGTTGGGAGCTCTAAGTCTCGATGTAGGTCGGCATTACAGACATAATAGGGCGAGTTAGTGGCCCTACGACAGAATAGATTTTGGACTATTTGAAGTTCATTTATAGCTTTGGGCTTAGTTGGTGCGAAAATGGGGGCCGCGTAGGTCATGACAGGTCGTATGCAGACCTTATATAGGGTTCGCTTGTTGCGGAGGGACATTTTACTGTGTCTGCCCAACATGCTGTTGAGCCTACCCATGTAAAATCGTGCGGTGCGAGTAACCTTCTTGATATGGGGCTCGAAAGTGAGCCTTGCATCAAGGGTGACGCCTAAGTATTTGGCTTTAGTTTGCCATGGGACAGGGTTCCTAACATCCTGATTGGTGGAGTGGTGGTGAGACGACGTCGTTTATATTCGAAGCAAATGACGGAGATTTTCTCCGGGTTTACGTCGATACGCCATTTTTGGAACCAAGCTCCTAAGTCGCTTACTGACTTTTGGATCTTGTTCCGAATCTGTGGTAGTGAGTTGCCTTTAGAGTAAAGGGCTGTGTCATCT